TTCTCCTCCAGTCCTGTACGTAGACAACAAGGCCATGCTGGCCTTGTGTCGAGAGCAGCGACTGGAGCACAGAACGAAGCACATTGCTCTTCGTTACTTTCTTGCTCGTGAGCTACAGCAGCGTGGACAGCTGCGACTTGCGTACGTGGCCTCTGAGGCCAACACTGCTGATGTCTTCACCAAGGCACTTGCGCCTTGTGATCATCAGCGTTGCTGCACGCAGTTGGGTCTTGTGCCTGTCTTGCCTCACTTGCTCTCCTCTTGACCTTGCTTGTACTTTCGCATATATATACTCTTGTTCTTGTATATCTCTATATATGATCTTGCATGTGAACTGGCCTTGTGGCCTTTGAACTTGTGCTCGGAATGCGTGGTGACTTTGTGATCCACCCTGAGCTTTGCTTTGCTTTGCTTAACTGGTCTTGTGACCCCTTGTTCTCCCCCACTTTGCCTATGGGGGTGTGTCAGAACTTATAGCTTACTTGTTTCTGTAGGCTATAGTGGGGTATCCCATAGGGGGTACAACCCAATTAGGGTTTCCTATTTGTACTCACTTCGTTCATAGTCATTCCATTCTCGTTCTTTGTTTTCACAGAAGCAGCTTATCCCGAGGACGCAACTCTTCCCCGCTACTCACAGACTGGACTGCAGATTCTCGGCCTCGTCACCGCAGTCCACGGCAACGCTCTCCCTAAAGAGCATGCGACGGTTCAGCAGGCTCTGGGGGGGGAACACAGGGAAAAATGGCGTGAAGCCATGGACAGAGAATTAAAGGCGCTGGAGGAACGGAACACCTGGAAAGTTGTTCCCATCAGCGTGGCAAGGAACAAGACAATTCTTACGGGGAAATGGGTCTTCCGCATGAAAACGAAGGCAGACGGCATAATTGAGAAATTCAAAGCACGCTGGGTTGTGCGTGGGTTCGATCAGGAGCACGGACGGGACTTCACCGAGACATTCGCCCCGGTCAGCCGACATACCTCACTTCGAATTCTCCTCGCCATCGCCGCTATGAAGAAGAAGAAACTACGGCAAATCGATATCGCCAACGCGTTCCTCTACGCACCCGTCGACGCGGAAATCTTCGTCGAGCTCCCACACGGTACCCACGGGGAACCTAACCAAGTCTGTCAACTGCTAAAATCGCTCTACAGGATCAAGCAAGCCCCGCGGCTATGGCAACAGTACCTACACGCTCGCCTCACTCGCATCGGATTCCGCCAACTGCCTCACGACCAAGGGATGTACCGACTCACCAAAGACGCCGACTACATTCTGCTGATCGTCTACGTAGACGACTTTCTCTACATCGGCTCTACTGACGACATCACCACCTGGTTCGAAGGGGAGCTACAGAGGGACCTCACACTCACGGTCTCCTCTACCGTCACACAGTACCTCGGCTTGAACATTCGGGAGGAAGAAGGCGCGATCTGCCTCAACGCCGCTAAGTACGCCGACACCATTGCCAAACGTTTCGCGCTCACACCTACCACCATCTCTACGCCCTACCGCTACACGACAGGAAACCACAATGAAGGATCCTCTCTACTCAAATTCATCGGGATACGCGACTACCAGAGAAAGTTGGGCTGCCTTCTCTTCGCAGCCGTCACCTGCCGCCCAGATCTATCCTACTCCGCAAGTCAACTTGCCACCTACCTCAAAAGACCCGAAGCAGAACACCTGGCGGAACTCGACCGCGCTCTCCACTACTTCGTCAGCACCTCAACGATTGGTCTGACATACTACAAGAACACAACTACACCGACGAAATTAATAGGCTACGTCGACGCCGATCACGCTGGCGACTCAGATAATAGGCGCTCCCGCACTGGCTACATCTACCGCCTCGAACCTATCGGACCGATCTCCTGGCAATCGAGCAAGCAGGAACTAATCGCTCTCTCGTCAGCTGAAGCAAAATATATCGCACTCTGCTCAGCCACCAAGGAAGGACTCTATCTTCGCGAGCTGCTGGAAGAAGCGAAGTTAGCCGAGTTACCCAACTTCACTCTGTTCTGCGACAACCAATCTGCGATTCGCATCGCCAACAAAAGCGGATTCGCGAACAGAACGAAGCATATCGCTCTGCGATATTTCTTCGTGAAAGACTAGATCGAGAAGGGGAAACTCAAACTATCCTACTGTCCCACGTCCGAGATGGCAGCTGACTACTTGACCAAGAAGCTCGGAAAACAGAAGTTCGAGTACTGCATGCTGTTGACTAGACAAAGCCACGTCACCATCTGCGACACTCCAGAAGCGAAGGGGAGTGTTGGGAACAAACAGTCCTAAGCGCCTGTGTCGTGTCGAAACACCAAGACACAAGCGAAGCAGCGCATATCGAAACACCAGCGAGTCAACCCTCGGAGGTTGATGTAACCGCTGGAGGTTACGCGAAAGTCAAAGGTCAGCGACCTTTGATCTGACAAATGCAGCGCGACAGCAAGGACACACAACTGACTCGACATTGAGCAGTTGCCCGAGTCGCACTGTATCGAACCGCAACAGTAAAGTAGTTATAATTATGTCTCTTCATATTCTCTGTATTCATATATATATTCTTGTATCTCTTTGCTTTAATCAACTTACTTTGCCCTCACATACCAGCGCAAGGTGGTTCAAAGACTTTACTCCAAACGCTTCCGCTACTACATCACTTTACTCAGACTTCAACTCTACCAAAGATCCTAAAGGGCACTCAGCCCAACAGTCGTGTCGGGCATTTCGAGTCACATGCGATATTTTAACAATGGCGGGTCGTTTCACAAACTGTCAGCGATGTCAGCGCGTTTCACGCTGACCAATAATAAATACAGTACAAGTCGCTGAAAGGCGATTCGCATTTGGGACACAACACAGTTTATGTTGTTTTTGGGTGTCACAAAGTGATTGAGACACAAGTGTCCCCACAAGAAAGTACCCTCAGACTCTTTTAGAGTCTAGAAACTGATCACAAGAATGAGGTGAGCTTTGCTCAATTTAATGCATGGAGAATAATCAGTCGTAGGTGTTATGGCAATAGTGTAGAGGGAGGCTGAGGGGAGAGGGTAGAAATGGGGAGCGTGACAAAATTGTTCCATAGGAGATTGGCCAATGACATTCCGTTGTGCTGTGGCAATGCAGAAAAAGAGGCTTCCACACTCCTACTCTTGCCCATCCCAAGGTATCTTGTTACGATATGGAATAGTTGAATAAACATTCCTGAGTAACAAATCCTTAACACGAAGATGACTGCAGCGATGACGAAAGACCAAGCGACGAGACATTTATCGAGAAAGTTACAAGCAGGAAGAAGTGCAGGAAATGTTCAAACGGTTATCGGACCGCGTACGGTTACCGAATCGCACGGTTGCGATGCTGCATCTAGATTAGCCCTAAGGGGAATGTACCCCCTCAGAGTACATGGCTAGCTAGGACCTTTCGCATTCCACTTTATTCCTAAATAAACCCTTGTACCGCATTGTGATAATCACTTCTGTCGAGATTCAAATCTCCTTCTACTGACAGAGTCCATACCCGACATTACCTAACAATCTTCCGCTGCTACACTCCGTGCGATCAACCTGAGACGATCCTATAAGACGGTTTAGATTGTATCACATTTGAAAAAAGGGCCAGCACTCCACAGTAGCCTTCGGGCTATCCCTCGCACCACAAGGCAGTGCCCGGTAGTCCCGCGTGCGGTTGCGCGACCAGAAGAGGCTCTCCCACACTCTCCTACGCGTGCCCGTCCCAGGGCGGCTGGCAGAAGGGCCAGCACTCCACTGGGGTGTTCGGGTTATCCCTTGCACCACAAGGCCGTGTGCCCGGCAGTCCCGCGTGCGGTTGCAGAACCAGAAGAGCCCCTGGTCCTCCACAACACCCATGGAGTCGTTGCTCAGTTTAAAGTGGCTCTCTCAGACTCTACTTCTGCCTTCCCCAAGGTAGCTGGCAGAAGGGCCAGCACTCCACAGGAGCCTTCGGGTTATCCCTTGCACCACAAGGCACTGCTCGGCAGTCCCGTGTGCGATTGCAGGAAACAAAGGTCCCTATACCACACTCCTACTCGTGCCCGTCCCAAGCAGGGCTGAATTTTCAAATAAAACCACTCTGATTGTTTTGCCCCCCCCAAAAAAATTAGTTTCAGGCCCATTTTCCAAAAATTGATTGCTATGATTTCTCAGGAACCAAAGAAGTATAACTCTGAAAATTTTGGAATTCAGATGCTATCATAAGTTGAAAGCAGGTTTAACTACTAATGGGTCTTGCAAGTCCCTGAGGGATGGGGTTTCACTCCAGTAACAGGAATGGCGTAGGGGACTTCGTACTCTGTAGTAGGAAAACTCATTATTCAGTAAGCAAGTACTCTGAAATTTTCAGTATTGAAAAAAACATTAGTCTGAAGCACTCATTTTTCAATATCATCCGACCCTGAAACATAAGGAACGTCAGGAAAATAGTATGAAATTTCAGACTATCAGATAGTATGATATCGTCAGCCCTGGTCCCAAGGCGGCTGGCAAAATGGCCAGCACTCCACAGGAGCCTTCGGGCTATCCCTTGCACCACAAGGCAGTGCCCGGCAGTCCCGCGTGCAGTTGCGAGACCAGAAGAGACCTTGGTCTTCAACAACATTCTTTGAGTCGATGCTCAGTGCAAAGTGCAGGTCGATCTGCCCTGCTGTGTAGTGGTTCAGTCGCAGCACCTCTGGTGGCGCTACGGCTGTGGAGTTTTCTGGAGCGGTGGTGGCATGGATCCCCACCGTGCTGTATAGGAGGAGAGGGGTGGCATAGGGGCGGGATGTGGGAAGGTCGGCAAGTGAGAGAGGAGGTGAGAAACGAAATGGGTGATACGGGATGGTGGTAAGGTGACCACAAGAGCCCCTGGTCCTCCACAACACTCATGGAGTCGTTGCTGAGTGCCAAGTGCAGGTCGATCTGCCCTGCCATGTAGTGATTCAGCCGCAGCACCTCCGGTGGCGCTACGGCTGTGGAGTTTTCTGGAGCGGTGGTGGCATGGATGCCCACCGTGCTGTATGGGAGGAGAGGGGCGGCATAGGGGCGGGATGTGGGAGGGTCGGCAAGTGAGAGAGGAGGTGAGGATTAAGTGGGTGATATGGGATGATGGAGACCAGAAGAGCCCCTGGTCCTCCACAACACTCATGGAGTTGTTGCTCAGTGCCAGGTGGGGGTCGATCTGCCCTGCCTTGTAGTGGTTCAGGCTCAGCACCTCCCTGGTGGCGCTAAGGCTGTGGAGTTTTCCGAAGCTGTGGTGGCATGGATGCCCACCCTGCCGTATGGGAGGAGAGGGGCGGGGTGTGGGAGAGGCGGCATTTGGAGGGGCGGAATGTGAAAGGGGCGGCATGTGGGAGGGGTGGCGTATGGGAGGGGCGGCATGTGGGAGGGGTAGCGTGTGGGAGGGGCGGCATGTGGGAGGGGTGGCGTGTGGGAGGGGCGGCATGTGGGAGGGGTGGAGTGTGAGAGGGGTGGCATGTGGGAGGGGTGGCGTGTGGGAGGGGCGCCATGTGGAGGGAAAGTAAGCAGCATATAGTAGTAATCAAGTGGTGCTATGACAAGGAAGGCAAGAGAAGAATAATCACTGAGACAGAGAGGGGATTGATTTTGTTGATAAGCACTCACTAGGGGGGAATGGTGTGTGGGTTGACAGCACTCACTAGGGGAGAATGGTGTGTGGGTTGATGACAATCACTAGGGAAGGATTGTATGTGGGTTGACTGCCACTTAGTCATGGTATCTGCGCATGCCGTTATCAAACGCAGGCAAGCGACAGCGCCACATGAAACGGTCTGTCACTCACTCCCCACGGGTCTCACTATGGGTGAGTGGTGTGTGTGTGGGTTGACAACACTCACTAGGGAAGGATCGTATGGGGGTTGACTGCCACTTTGTCATGGTATCTGTGCATGCCGTTATCAAACACAGGCAATTTGCTGCGCCACATGAGGCGGTCTGTCACACACTCCCCGCGGGTCTCCTTGGTTTCTCCCCATACGTTGAACCGCCGCAAATGAATAGCCTGCCGTGGGTAAGGGGTGAGAGGGGAGGATGGCAGATGCTCCGTATGGCATGCAAGGCAGTCCATCTGGGCAAGCTGCTGCGCCACTCGAGGCGGTCTGATACATGCTCCCCTAGGAGGCGGTCTGATACATGCTCCCCTAGGAGGCGGTCTGATACATGCTCCCCTAGGAGGCGGTCTGATACATGCTCCCCTAGGAGGCGGTCTGATACATGCTCCCCTAGGAGGCGGTCTGATACATGCTCCCCTAGGAGGCGGTCTGATACATGCTCTCCTAGGAGGCGGTATCATTTGTCACTCCCAAGAAGTTGAACCGTCGCAAGTGAATGGCCTGCCGTGGGAGCTGGAGAGAGGGAAGGGATGGGGTGCTGCTGAAAGGCCTGCTGCAGGTTGATGGTGCCGTAAGCATCTCCTTTCCCTTGTGCCCTGTTTCCCTTAGGTACTGTCACATCAAGTTGTGCCCGCCTTACAGTCACGTCAAAGTGGCCCCAACTGAGTGCCAGGTGCCGTCCCATTTCCGTTCTTTGTGAATGGATGCTGTCCTGTTTTCACATACTCCTTTTGATATAATGACAATAATGATCATTGTTATTTATACAGCTTCCATGTTACCCTGTTGGTATCACTAACGAGATTTCTCAAAGCTCACCCGTAGCGGTTCCGTGCTGTTTTGCGCGTGGTTGAGCTCTATCCTCGCTAGAAGCGGCTTCAGGAACCCCCCTGCCCGAGGCAGGTACCAGATGAACTCGTCGCTGTCTATCTGCAGCTGCCACCTGTCGCCGAACCTCCGCCCCAGCATCATGCAATGCTCGTAGGATATAAGCTGGTCATATATATCAGGAAACTGGAGGGGGGAGGAAAGGGGGAGGAGAGGAATGAGGGGGAGAGGATGCTACTTTTTGTCATCAGCAACATGCAGCGCTCATAGGATCTAAGCTGGTAGAATTTGGTTGGGACTAGGGAGGGGAAGGGGAGAGGGAGGGGGAGAGAGGTGAGGAGGGGATAGAGGGGGGGAGAGGGGGTGGAGATTTTTCTTTGGGGTAGTTTATGAGTAAACTCAAGGCATTAGCATCTTGCAGCACTCATCAAAATTCGCTGATCGAATGTATATGGAAACTGGGAAGAGAGGGGAGGGGAGGATGGTAGAAAGAGGGGAGTGAGGACACGATGCTCTTGTAGGCTTATGATTGCATATCTCAGGAATCTGCATGGGGAAGAGTTGCAGGTGATTATTTAGAGTTCCCAACTGTTGTGCGGCTCCAACACCTAGAGTTCCATAAGTACAAAAGGAAATTAAAACACACACACACACACACATACACACACACACACACACACACACACACACACACACACACACACATACACACCCACATACACACACATACACACACACACACACACTCACACAAACACACACACACATACACACATACACACACATGCACACACACACACACCCAGCTTGCTACTAGGTGTGTTTGCAACTAGGTGGTGGTGTGTGTTATATTTATGTGACACAACAATGCTTCATTTTCCGAATATTGTGCTTTCCATTGTTGCACATTTGAGTTATGAACATCCATGAACAAATACCACTACATACGGTATATTCAAGGTAATAATTACCCAAATGTTTCCCCTGCCTGGTATTAGGAACAACAAAAACACGACACTCTTTTAGTGCAGGATCACAACAGGGAGTGGGAGCGGGTAATAGGAGCAGGTACCCGACGCATGAAGCGAGAGCAAGGGATGGTTGCAGGGAGTGTGAGATGGTTGACAAAGAGGATTGCAGCCACAACCGTGTCTCTTGCTGCTGCCGCTGCTGATGCGTTTGCTGCACTGTCTTCTGCTGGTCCTGTCATTGCTGCTCCCCTCGTTTATGTTGTTTTTGACTGTCTTACAGATGCTCGTGTCGCTCTTGCTGCTGGTGCTGTGATTGAGGCCACTGTTGGTGGTTTTGGTTTTGGGTATGTTGTCGCAATACTTGGAGCAGTTGCTCCAGATGTAGCCCAACACCATGCTGCTGTTGTTGCTGGCCACGCATATCATGCTGCTCTCCCTGCTGCTGCTGCCCTTCACCCTGCGCATTCTGCAGCAGCTGCTGCAGGAGCAGCAGCATCTGCTGCCCCTGCTGCTGCTGCTGATGTCCCTGCCACTCCTGCTGTCCCTGCCGCTGGTGCTGTCCCTGCCGCTGCTGCCCTCCCTGCTGCTCCTGCTGTCCCTGCCGCTCCTGCTGTCCCTGCCGCTCCTGCTGTCCCTGCCGCTCCTGCTGACCCTGCTGCTCCTGCTGTCCCTGCCGCTCCTGCTGTCCCTGCCGCTCCTGCTGTCCCTGCCGCTCCTGCTGTCCCTGCCGCTCCTGCTGTCCCTGCCGCTCCTGCTGTCCCTTCCGCTGCTGCTGTCCCTGTCGCTGCTGCCCTCCCTGTCGCTGCTGCCGTCCCTGTCGCTGCTGCCCTCCCTGCTGCTCCTGCTGTCCCTGCCGTTCCTGCTGTCCCTGCCGCTGCTGCTGTCCCTGCCGCTGCTGCTGTCCCTGTCGCTGCTGCCCTCCCTGCTGCTCCTGCTGTCCCTGCGGCTCCTGCTGTCCCTGCCGCTCCTGATGCTGTTCCTGTTGTCGCTGCTGGTTCCGTCTCTGATGTCGTTGCTGCATCTGCAACCTTCTCAACTGGCGACGTCGCTTTTGCCCCAACTTCACATGCTGTTGTTCATCTAGCGTTTCCCCGTTGTGGTCCGCTGGGTTATCCACAACGATTGATTCTTGCGTACCAGGTACTGGGGACTGGTTTGTATGGCCCGTTGCCTCTGAGTCCGCCCCCATCCCTTCCGCCACCACATCCGCTGGCCTCTGATCCATATTTCTTGGTTCTGGCGCCACTTGTCTTTGCTGACGAACGTGTTGCAGCCGCCTCAGTCTAAAACGAACCACATTGTCACCATTGTTATGCGAGGCATCACCAGGGGTGGGATCGTTGTGGTCAATTTCCATCTCACCCGCCACTCCACCGCTCCCTACAGCACCTTCCCTCCCCGACCCGCTCCCTGCAGCTCCCCTCCCTGCCGCACTCTCGACTCCCCTCCCTGCCCCGCTCCCTGCTACTCCTCCCCTCCCTGCCCCGCTCCCTGCTACTCCTCCCCTTCCCCCCCCGCTCCCTGCTACTCCTCCCCTTCCCCCCCCGCTCCCTGGTACTCCTCCCCTCCCTGCCCCGCTCCCTGCTGCTCCTCCCCTCCCTGCCCCGCTCCCGGCTGCTCCTCCCCCTGTCCCGATCTCGGCTGCTCCCCTCCCTGTCCCGATCTCGGCTGCTCCCCTCCCTGTCCCGATCTCGGCTGCTCCTGCCCTCCATGCCCCACTCTCTGCTCCTGCCCTCCATGCCCCACTCTCTGCTCCTGCCCTCCATGCCCCACTCTCTGCTCCTGCCCTCCCCGCCCCACTCTCTGCTCCTGCCCTCCCCGCCCCACTCTCTGCTCCTGCCCTCCCCGCCCCACTCTCGGCTGCTCCTCTCCTCCATTCCCCACCCGCTGATGCTCCTCCCCTCTCTGCCCCGCTCGCGTATCCTCCTTCCCACTCCCCCAATCCTCCACTCTCGGATACTCTTCCGCTCTCCCCGCATCCCCCACTCTCAGCCGCTGTTGGATTTGATAACCCCACACCCCCCGGGCGCAAGTTTCTGTTGGTTCCTGAGGTGTTGAGCCCGTTAAATGCCTCGCCAAAAACTTCACGGAGTACTGTTGGGACAGCCTGTTGGACACCAGCACCCGCATCTACCGGCTGCTCTTCTCCCTCCCCCTCCGACTCCGAACTCCCGTCCTCCTCCTCGTCCGATACCTCAACACCTTCATTCTCACCACCATCCCCCGCGTGAGTCGCGCTACCGTCCACCACCCCCACCCCAGTTTGTGGTTGCTCATGTTCACGAGGTTGCCTCCTAGGCTCGCACAGTACATCCCTGTGGTGCCTTACATTGCATGCACCACACAGCACCACATTCACCTCAGCCTCTGCTTGCGTAGCTGTTTGCACACTCATGTGCCCTTCCGGAGTGTGAAGTGCCTCCCACACGTCTCTCCTTTGTTTGCGCAAATCACAAGTCTTTCGATTGTGCCCTTTCTCCCCACACTTCCCACATCTACGCAGCTTCCTCCCATCAATCTCACCGTGGGACCTCAACCGGTTGTTGCGTGGCCTCCCCGACTTTTTTGGGTATATTGGTGCCTCAGTTGTCTGATCTGGCACGAGCTCAGTGCGGTCAAGAGTGCGAATCTCCGTGCTGTAGAGCTCCTTCAAAGCGTTTGAAGTGTAACACCTGTGGATCATGGCTTGAACCACAGGTTGGACATCCGCATACTCGTTGCCACGTGCCGGCTTGATGATGTGGAGCAGTACCGCATACATGTGCATGCATGGCAGCCCATACTCTCTGCATGTGTACGGGAAAATCAAATGGGTGTCAAACGAACGTTAGGATCCATCAAATGACGAACATCAAGAGATTGCCTGAGGGAGAATAAAATGTATGCATGTTCCGACAACCCTAACACCAGCTGCAGAATGTTTCCCTATTGTGTTTCAAGGTTTAGCTCAAACACATAACTCACCTCTGGTAATTACACGTGCACTGCGCCTCCTCTGGCTTTGCAACCTCCAATACCACCACACGCTCCTCCTTGGCTCCAGTGTCACGGCTCACATGGTATGAACTTCTGCCAGTCTTCTCCACTTTGTACTGAGTGCCCATTTGACAATTAGCACGAAGGATGCCTGCTGTTATGGGGGGGAGATCAGCTACCCCGAGATTCCCATACAGCTTACGACCCTCTTCCATTGCATTCGCTTGCTGTGTTATGAATGCAAGCAAAACTTGTGCTTGATTGTCCCTCCTCCACTTGTGCATAGAGGCATGATGCGACTCCACTGGGTTTGAGGTATAGCACCCAAAACGTGACGCACCAAACAGAAAGGTAGCCCAATGTGCGGCTAATCCATCCCTCTCCAAGTATTCTTTCCCCCCAGGGCACTCTTCCTCGATTTTGTCCATGTAGCCCCGCAGCACATCTCTGGTCAATGCTGCAGCCGCGAGCTCGATCTTGCCATCACAGTCTGAACCAAACTTTGAGTTAAAATTCCTCACCAAGTGTGTGATGCAAAATGCCTCACGCGCCCCTGGCAGCACTCTGGCAGCAGCCGCTTTCCATGCTTTCCCGCGATCATGCATCAGTGTAAACCTTGGAGTGTTGATCTCAGGGGCAGCTACCTTCAGCTGGCTCAAAAAATACTCACACGAATCCGCACTCTCACCTTCTACCCATGCACTCCCTAACCTCACCAGCTTATGTTCGCAGTCAATCATGCATGCATTCAGAGTATGGCCTCGCCATACACCTTTGTTGTGACATCCATCTACAAATACGATCGGAAAGCAATTTTTTACTACCTCACGGACTCCTGGGTAAATCACTGCAGCACGATGGAACCTATTCTCGTTCAGCAACAATGACACAACGCTCGATGGGTTATGTCTCTTGAAAACATCAAGGATGCTACCAATGTACTGGAAACCCGACTCTCCACCTAGAGGATCCTCTCGAGTGACATCATCTATTGATCGGCCACACGTAGCATTGCAGCAGTCAACGCCTAACTTTTCCCGCACCATCTCTCGTAGTCCAACAGGTCTAATGACTGTATGAGCACGTACTTCACGCACCACTTGATTAACCTGTTCCCTCCTAATCCGACCAGGGCGTGGCACACACGTGTGTGCATGCTGCAGCGTCACTGATCTCACACTAAAGCTGCGATTTCGAGGCCCGGTAGCTACAATCCGAAAGGGACAAAACCCCTCTGGTGCTTTGGCCTCATTCTTGGGCCAGTCTTTTCCTTTCATGGAAGGGCAACACACGTCAAGGCGTTCTGGCCTGTTGTCCCTATACCAGGGCTTGAAATTGAACTTATCGCCATATTTCTCTATCTCATCTCTGGCAGCGCTTACGGATGAATAAATTTTCCCTTGGTAAATGTTGATCTCCTCCGTCTGTTGTCCAAGAAATGCCCTGTTTAAAAAACACATGACCGCAAAGGTAATGGAATCATATGTGATTAGTTTGTTGCAACCCAAACAAGGGACGTGCAGCAATACGGGAACGTGTAGACATATCATATCCATCGCATGTGTGAATCAGTGTGATCACCTTGAAAGAGAACTCCTGAACATTGTGCACACATGGTCCCTGTCTACACAATAGTTTGCGAGTGACGAAAGTCTGGAGAAAACAAAATTGAAACACGTGAAGGATCGACATGAAAATGGTGGATTATATTCAAAATCAGCACTCCAAAAATGTGGATGAAAGACCCGTGTGTGGTGACTAATGCTTAGCATTATGTACAGACCAATGCATGGAGTCTGTAACATTGGCGATTTTAAAATCAGGTAAGTACTACCGTATGCTTTATTACGGTAATGCATTAAGGATATCGAAGACGCACTACCAAACTCAATACCCTCATTTCCCGCGATATTCATATTCATCTACGAATCAACCATCTATCTAATCTGAGACTTGTTTTTTTTAACGCCCATGTGCAAAATCGCGTTTCTGTAATGTGTGTCTGAAACCACTGACGGAAACAGTCACACGGTAGACCAGACGGAATGCTAGTGTTCTCCGTTTCCGTCTGGCGAGCTGGGCCTGTGTTTCGAAATCTAGGGCGCGACAAACTAGCTCAACAGATTTCAGAACAGTGGCAGCCGAGCCACCCAGAGTGAGGATTCGATTTGGCAGAAGGGACAAAAGTCAACTGTGCACAGTTGACAGTTGCTCAGTGCAGTAGTTGGCATGGAAACTTGTGCCACGTGGGTGAATGTGGGGAAGAGTTCTGTGTTGTTTCTATAATTCCTCTGTCTGAGGCACGGAGGGGCGGAAAGTGCCCCCCGCTGGCACTGTAGCTCCCTACAAAGCGCGGGGTCCCTAGTGGTACCCCCGCGAAAGCTACTTACCCTTTTCTTTCCTGCGCGGGCGTTTAAAAGACTGTCAACCTTCGCTGGAGTAGAGTGGGAAGAAAATGGACAGGGACAAGTCTTTTCCAGTCGCGTCGGGTCGGTTCGGGGGCAGGAGATTCCAGTCCAGACGTGTCCAGTCCTTTGATTCCAGACGTGTCCAGTTTTTCTGCTGGTGAAGGGAGTCTGGGCGATTTCGGGTTCTTGCAAAAGTCCAACCCCAGTCATGGCTACAGTGATGCTGACTTACATCAAATGACTGGTTGTACTGTACTGGCAACGTGCTCGCGAGCAATCCAAACCCACAATTGCGTCGAATACGGCGCGCACGCAATCAATTTTCCAATTCCACAAACTCGTTTAAAACAGATGCAAGTCATTCGGCTGCTACATCTCGAACTGAATAAACGAGTACTACACAGATCTCTATTTGATTTCTGGCACTGTGATCTAGAATACTAGTGGGCAGACGTCGTAGAACTGATTTCAGGCAGTATATCGAGGGTCAAGGGAAGAGCACGCCATGGCTGGGGCTATCGTGAGATTCGATACAAGAAATATCAGGGAAAAGCGGAAGAAATAACCGTTGGCGGCGAGGCTACTCCGCCTTCAAAGCAGGGAGTTGAGATCACCATACACCACTAGATAGCACAAGGGCAAGGGCGTGTTGTTACCCAGTACGTTTACCCGACCTGGCACAGTTGCTTGTTCCCGTGGCCCATGGATCTCTCCATCATCCACACATCAAGCAGTAGCAATTGATATAGGCTTGCCTTGCGTGTGGCTTGCATGGCATTTTCTATTCTTACCCCGCCGTGTAGCACCGCCGCCGCCACAATGCGTCGCCTTGCCCTCTATCCATGGTGTAATTGTGAGCCATGAAGAGGCTTGCTTCTCTATTGGCTTCACCGTGGCGTTTTATTTCTGCCCTCTCCTGCCTGAGCCCAAAAGTGCTCTTGAGGATTCTCAAACGAGCCTTGATGCTCTGTTGGCCTCACCGTGGTGTTCTGCTCTCCAGGAGTGTTACTGTACCTATTCCTGTCCTGCCCTGACCCCGATTAAGAGTGCTACCTATTCTTGTCCTGACCTGCCCATGGCAACTGGCAGAAGGGCCAGCACTCCACCGGGGTGTCAACACTCCCACCGCACCGCACCGCTTTGCACTCCATTGTGCGGTTGCGGGCCCAGAAGAGGCTGGGGTCTTCAATAGGCTTGACTGTGGCGTTGCAGGGCGGCTCTTTGAGATCCACCTCCCGCGACGTGTAGTGGTTCAGGTGGAGAATTTCTGGTGGCGCTGTTGCCATTTCTTCTGGAGGGGAGAACGTGTTGTGGATGGATATAGAGCTGATTGGGGGGGGGGGGGAGGGGAGGGGAGGGGAGAGGAGGGAAAGGGAGGGGGAGAGAGGGGGGGGGGAGGGGAACGGGGAAAGAAGCTGCTGTCTTCGATGGGCTTGACTGTGGCGTTGCAGGGTGGCTCCTTGAGATCCATCTCCCGTGACATGTAGTGGTTCAGGTGCAGGATGGCGGGGGGTGTACGAGTGCGACTTTTGAGAATTCTCAAAAGTCGCACTAATATGTTGTCATCTCCTCTCGAGGGGAGAATGGGTTGTGGATGGATATAGAGCTGTTCAAGGTTAAAAAATACGGTAAATGTAAATTACGGCTCGTAAATTACGGTGGTTTTGGCAAAAATACGGTCGTTTTTTAATGGACTTTTTTGCGGCAAATTTTTTTTTTTTTCCAGAAACTTCAAGAATGCTTACAACGATGACTAGGAAGGCAACAACAAACTACACTACAGAGAAACAAGCCTATAATGGACCGCTACACCACTACCATTGCTAAGCCTACCTAGTAGTACCTACCTTTAGGCTAGATCTGCTCCTACTCCCTCCCCACGCTACGCGAAATAAACACACTCGCGTGGATTTGGGCGCACGAAATTTCTCACAAGCAGGGTGACGGTTGGGAAATGTCGAAATTCGCTAGACACAAACCCAGTTTCAAAATTTCGGTCGTAACTTACGACCATATTTTTGAACCAACCTAATTTTGCAAGGTCGAACCATTTTTTACCGTAATTTACGACCGTAAATTACGATACCGTAATTTACGGTAAATTTTCAAAAATACGGTCGTATTTTTGAACCTTGGAGCTGTTGGGAGGGGGAGGGGGGTAAGTGAGGGACAGGGAGGAAGGCAGAGATGATTATTGGTTGACTGGTGGCGCTGTTACCATCTGCTCTGCAATGTTAAATCGCTTTTGAGAACTCTCAAAAGCGATTTCGCCATCTCCTCTGCAGGGGCAAACGTGTTGTGCATGGATATGGAGCTGGTGGGGGGAGGGAGGAGGACGAAAGAAATGGGCGCAAGAGGAAGGCAGGGTGTATAGGTAAAGGCCGGAACAGAGAGCCTCTCGCAGAACTGTTTTCGAATGGGGGAAAAAAAAAAAGGAACTTCAGAGGGCCGCTGGCATAAGAGCAGGGGACCACTGATGGAACTGTTGCTTTTCCCTCTACGGAGATTGAGGAAATGGCAGACAGGATTGTGGATCGAGCAGGAGTGGAACTGACTAGTGACGTGCCGTCTTGAACTGAGCCGAAAAGGCTAGCAGGACAGGACGAAGTAGTTTGTCTGGGTGGAAAAATATTTGTCACGGGCAGTGTGAGCTCTGTCAATCCAGCCGGAATCTAACACCTGAAGCACGCAAACATCATCCCATTCACATCACATCCCATTTACATGCCAATTTACTAGGGGAGGATGATCTGTGGGTTGACGGCACGGCACAGCACGGCACTCACTCGCCCGTGGTAACATGCCAACCAACAGCTGGTTTTTGAGAATTCTCCATCGCCAACCAACAGCCCACTTACTATGGAAGAATCGTCTGGGGATTAACAGCCCACTTACTATGGAAGAATCGTCTGGGGATTAACAGCCCACTTACTATGGAAGAATCGTCTGGGGATTAACAGCCCACTTACTATGGAAGAATCGTCTGGGGATTAACAGCCCACTTACTATGGAAGAATCGTCTGGGGATTAACAGCCCACTTACTATGGAAGAATCGTCTGGGGATTAACAGCCCACTTACTATGGAAGAATCGTCTGGGGATTAACAGCCCACTTACTATGGAAGAATCGTCTGGGGATCAACAGCCCACTCACTATGGAAGAATCGTCTGGGGATTAACAGCCCACTTACTATGGAAGAATCGTCTGGGGATTAACAGCCCACTTACTATGGAAGAATCGTCTGGGGATTAACAGCCCACTTACTATGGAAGAATCGTCTGGGGATTAACAGCCCACTTACTATGGAAGAATCGTCTGGAGATTAACAGCTAAGTGGGAATATACGCTTAACACCTTAAGCGTATAGCGTATGTACGCTAGCGTACATACGCTACATACGCTATCCGCTATACGCTAGCGAATACGCTATACGCTAGCGAATACGCTATACGCTATCAATTTTTTTTTAGGGCTGCCCGAAAAACAAAATCGCAAAAAAGATGCGGATTTCCTAGGTGAGCATTTCGTCGTAGTCGAAATTCAAATCTACGGTCTAGGCAAACGGGGTTCTGACTTCGAAGTCGTCTGGCAAATGTTGAATTTCAGATCCCATCTAGGGATTGAAATCCATCCTTCTACCGCATTGAACTCCACTTTATCTACAAACTCCAACCTGTCAAAATTAACCCCCCAACAAATCTCACGGTACTTACCAGCCAGCCCTGTACGCTAACCCTAACTCGTCATTTCGTTCCCGCTTTCACCAGATTTCACGCTACTTTGCTTTCAAGCTATTATGTCTACTCCACCTCCCATTGCACTAGTCATTCGGATTCAGGATTGTGCTAGGGCAAGCCTTAGTAAGAATAGGGAGTACTTTTTTTCACCTGCCCGGAAAGGTTTTTCTCTGCCCGGAAAAGCATATCTCCAAACCGAACCCCTAAGCGGATAGCGTATATACGATACGCGTATATACGCTATACGCGTATATTCCCACAACAGCCCACTTACTATGGAAGAATCGTCTGGGGATTAACAGCCCACTTACTATGGAAGAATCGTCTGGGGATTAACAGCCCACTTACTATGGAAGAATCGTCTGGGGATTAACAGCCCACTTACTATGGAAGAATCGTCTGGGGATTAACAGCCCACTTACTATGGAAGAATCGTCTGGGGATTAACAGCCCACTTACTATGGAAGAATCGTCTGGGGATTGACGGCCACCTTGTCGTGCCAGCCGACCCACGTCTTGGTGTGCCACATGGGCTCACTGCATCGCCACTGCAGCCTGTCAGACACCGGATCCCCTCGTGACTCCTTCTTCACTCCCCAGAAGTTGAACCTCCTCATCAGAATCGCCTGCCATGAGCACACAACACAAAGATGGGGCCCAAGCAATCGGCCTGTGAGTTTGGAGAGCAGAGGTTGCACCGCCACTGCAGCCTGACAGATACCGGATCCCCTCGTGACTCCTCCTTCACTCCCCAGAAGTTGAACCTCCTCATCAGAATCGCCTGCCACACGCACAAGGATGGGGCGAGAAAGAGGGAGGTTTGTGGATGAGAAGCAAACAGCGATACGCATGCGCATGCTTTCCTTTCAGGTGCCTAAAAAATGCAGAAATGGGGGCAAGAGCGCCACAAGGCACGCAGTTTCTCAACAGAGTCAACTCACACGGAGTGGTTGCTTGCAGCCTGGTGCCTTGGCGTGGTTGACCTCTATCCTGGCTAGCAGCGGCTTGAGGAAACCCCCGGCCCGCGGGTGGTACCAGATGAACTCGTCACTATCTATCTGCAGCTGCCACCTGTGTACTGCTCCCTGCCTGGTGACTCGTGAGTTGACTCACATAAAATTGTATCTCATCCGGAGAGGCTGCCTGCTGCCTGGTGCTCGTGCGTGGTTGACCTCTATCCTGGCTAACAGCCTATGTGACGGAAGACGCGTCTAGCGTCTTAGACGCTGCGTCTCCGCCTAGGTTAGACGCATATTAGACGAAACCCCGGGCAGGCCAAAAAAATAGTATGGGCAGCCTAAAAAAACTTTTCTAGGCCATGGGGAGGGGGAGGGTGAATGGGATGAAGACGACCTCTTGGTATAGCAGACGAATTAGTCTGCTGGGACATTCATCGAGATCTAGAACTTCTAGATCTATAAACATTGACGCTCACAATCTCATATCTCAAATTGGTTGGGTTTTCTAGATTCAGTGCGGTGAAGATCGGTAATGGGAGGGGGAACTGGTTGGTCACGAAATGGTTCACAAATCTGTTGGCTGCGGGGACAAATTCCAATTTCGACTTAGCTTTCCGTTTCTCAATTTCTCTCACACCTCCTCCCATGCTTCTTCTAAAACGTCTTTAATTGGCCGGCTCATTGTAGAGCAGAGGCGTGCAGCACTTTAGTCCTAGCTGCTGATACTATTATGGGGGGTGGGGCTAACAGCTAGGTTTGGGGGATGTTATCAAGGTCGAAATGGGTGGGAGGGGTTGAAATTCGCGCGCGCGATTTTTTTTTCGGGCTGACCGAAAAATTTTCCCCATGCGTCTAGCGTCTAAACGTGCGTCTAGCGTGTAGCGTCTAGACGCTAGACGCAAGACGCGTCTTGCGTCTTCCGTCACATAGCTAACAGCGGCTTCAAGAACCCCCCAGCCTGGGGGTGATACCAGATGAACTCGTCACTATCTATCTGCAGCTGCCACCTGTGTACTGCTGCCTGCCTGGTGCCATTCAATTCGACTCACAATCTGCAGCTGCCACCTGTGTACTGCTGCCTGCCTGGTGCCATTCAAGTAAACTCACAATCTGCAGCTGCCACCCGTTGAAAGCTGCCTGCCTGGTGACTCACCCGGAGAGGCTGCTTGCTGCCTGGTGCCTTGGCGTGGTTGACCTCTATCCTGGCTAGCAGCGGCTTCAGGAACCCCCAAGCCTTGGGCGGGTGCCATGTGAATGGGAGAATATCACAGGGCATGCAATGCAGGCAGCTTTCAGCAGAACCAACTCACCCGGAGAGGCTCCTTGCTGCCTGGAGCATTGGCGTGGTTGACCTCTATCCTGGCTAGCAGCGGCTTCAAGAACCCCCCTGCCTGGGGGTGGTACCAGATGAACTCGTCACTGTCTATCTGCAGCTGCCACCTGTCGCCAAACCTCCGCCCCAGCATCATGCAGTGCTCGAACGCTATTACTTGGTCGTATATGTCCGGGAACTGGCTGGGGGAGCGTACGAGAGAGGGAGGCACAGGAGGGGACACCAAGAGGAAGTTGAAGAAAACTCTATCTCGCCCAAGAAATGCAATCTGCAGCTGCCACCTGTCTTACCTAGAAAATCGCACCACTTCCAGCTGTCCACGTGCACCCCCCTTGCCAGGCTTTTTCCCCTCACCACCACGCCACTAATTCCCGCCACAGTCAACCCCCCCAAGAAATTCCTCCTCGCTCCAGCCCCTTCCCCGCAGGTATTACGCGAGCAGAGGGCGAGCCCAGCGCATTCCTCGAAGGTTTCGTTATCTCTCCTGTCCCACCCCTCGCCCTTTCCCCCCCAACGGACCCTGGCGAACAGCTTTGGCAGCAAAGTGCGAAGCAGCACCTGGTTGGGTCGTGGCTCAGGGCAGTTCCACACAGCGAAAAGCGGTTTTCAGCGTTTACCGTTTTGCACCGTGACGAAACGAAGTTGACCGTAGCGAGCGTACAAAAGTTGTACAACCTGACGTCGCCCTAAGCTTGCATTCAGTCACCCAGTCTCGTTAGCAAGCACAGGCGGCCATGAAGAACAAAGATGAAGCCCAAAAGGCGAAAGACCGCGCCGAGGCGAGGCTATCGGCTGGAGGCGTCGCAGGAGCCCGGAAACTCTGTAAGAAAGCTCGTTCCCATTTTGCGACGCTCGGCGGCCTTCCTCAGATGGAAATTGTTCTCGACGTTCACGAAGTTGCTGCGAAGCCGTTATTCGGTGCCCGTCACGGCGAGGTGGACTGGTACCACGTTCTAGGCGTTCCCTATTACCAGTCCACCTTGCAGTGACCGGCACCAAATAACGGCTTCGCAGCAGCTTCATGAACGTCGAGAACGGCCTCCATCTGAGAACGGCTGTCGAGCGTCGCAAACAGGGAACGAGCCTTCTTCCAGAGTTTCCGGGCTCCTGCGACGCCTCCAGACGATAGCCTCGCCTCGGTGCAGTCTTTCGCTTTTTGGAATTCGTCTCAAAAATCATTTGAGGCGCCTCAAAAAGGGGCTCACTCTAGTGGGCGCATGACAACTTCCCCCTCCCCCAACCCTTCTTTTACAACCCTCTCCCCCCCCCTCTTCACACCAAGCCAAGGAAGGCCGCACTCACCGCGTAGGGCTTCTTGGCCTTGCCGTCGTACTGCGCTTGCCTAAAGAACACCTCGCTCCAATTGGGGAACGGCACGTGCACCACCTGCCCTCGGGCAATATACTCCCACAGCAGCGCGCGTATGTGCGTGGAGTAGCGGTCGTACACATAGATGCGATCCACTCCCATCAGCAGACACGCATCGATCCACTCGAGTAAGCGCACGTCGGATACGGCGATATTATCGGAGAACATTTGGCGCTTGTGCACGGGGCGCAGGCAGATGCTCACTGCTCCCATGCCCGCACTCCTGCTGCTGCTGCTGCTGCTGCTGCTGCTGCTACTGTTTTTCTCATCCTCGTTTGTAGCTGCATCCTCATAGTTCACAAGCAGGTCCTTGGAACTAAGCATTTTCCCACCAGAGGCTTTATCTGTGCTGTTCGCCCCTTGCTCCGCCTCGGCCAAAAACCGAACCAGCTCCGAACCACTTCCCAAGCCTACAGCGGCCTTTGAGCCTGCCGAACCGCCAGAGCGACCCTTTGCACCCTTCGCAGCAGCAGCAGTAGCAGCCTCAGCAGCGGCCCCGGCGACAGCCAGAGCAGCCAATTCCTTTTCCTTTGCTGCAAACGGAAACGGCGGAGGGAAAGAGACAGGGAAGGGCTGGGCCGCAACAGCAGAAGTAGCAGCAGCAGCAGTGTGATGAGAGGACGTGAGGGAGAGGGAGAGCGGGGAGGATGCAAGGGTGTGTTTGTCATTGTCGGCGCGGCACAGCAGCAGCGGGGGCATGCGTAGGTCTGCCCCATCCTCTGCTGCCACCAGCTGCACCTGCACCTGCTGCCAGTGATGCACCGCCCACTTTCTCCCGTCCGCCGTTCCCAACCGCTCTCGACCGGTCACAGACGCAGGAGCCGCAGACGGATCAGAGAGAGGACCAGCAGAGCTGGCTGGTTCACTTGAAACGGTCTCATTACCAGTCATAAGCTCGGTGTATGGTGGCAGTGGGCACTCGATAATGTTATGCCAAAGATAGCTGTTATTGGCGACCGCGTCCACGATATAAGCAGGCTCGAGCGTCTGCATATAAGCGTCGTGCGTGGGCCACACGTGGCACTGCACCTTAAACACGCTCGGAGTGAAGAGGTCGCTGTATTCCGCCTCGCCCCACCCCTGCCACTGCGACTTGCGGATCGAATCGTCGTCCTCCAGAAACGACAGCAGCCGCAGAGTCGTTTTCGTCGGTTCTGCACCCCCGGGGATCCCTTGGTTCTGCCCCACTTGCTGCTGGTCCCCTTGGTTCTGCCCCACTTGCTGCTGGTCCCCTTGCGCCTGCCCCCCTTGCTGCTGTCCCCCTTTCGGCTCCCCTTGCTGTCTACCTTGCTGGCCCCCATTTCCGCCGTCTCCGCCCGATCCTCCAGCCGTTCCCCCTTCTCCTGCGGCCTTTCCGCTGCTCTCTCCGCCTGTCGTTCCCCCAGCAGCCTCGCGCCGAGCCTCTGCTTCGGCCCAAAGCTCCGGTCCGTGCCGAACCTCCGCTTCAAACACAGTGAGCTGCGCGAACCGGTTGTGAAACGCTTTCCCATGCTTCATAGGCTTCGTTACGAACGTTCCCTGCGCGAACGGCGCTGACGGGCTCCCCATGCACATCCGAATCTTCGCGCCGCGGGCAGTTAACGGCCGATCCAGCGGCGCAAGTTTATCCGACGGGGTACGATCATTCCGCTCGTCGCAACGCGGGCAGTCTCGCGAAGTTTCTTCAGACCGTTCGAGGGGTATATCAGCAGCGTGGTTGCAATCGGAGGGCAGATAAGTCGCGTTTGGTGGAAACGCGACCCAGAACGCGAAGATCGCGGAGGCGGTAAGTACGAGGACGGCATAGTGGACAAATGGGATCGCTTTCAGGAGCGCTGCGGCTTGGTGAGGTAATTGACGATTATGGCTCGGCGACTCTAGGCCTAGGTGAACCATGGTGACTCTCGCGGCAGCACGAGGTGTGCCTTCTTGCGCGCAAAGCGCTCACCCGTTCAATTCACAGCATGGAATTACCTGATGTTGTGAAAGTGCGCGCCGCGGAAGATGCGGTTGTGGTTAAGCCAAGTGCAATGAGTGGTTTGCTTTGTTTCTGTTGTGATAGCCGGTTCATCCACAGTTGAGAAATTTGCATCATTCTTTCACCAGACTAAATCCATGGTTATCTTCTCACAACTTTCAGAAACGACTCCAACCGTTTGAAGCCAATCACGAGGGTCACTGAATTCGGCTCTTAAAAAAGTAATCTCGAGGTGCGCAGCTTAGACTCCTCACCGGACTGCAGCCCTGATATATCTTTCTGGACCCTACAGACACGATCTGAATCCCGTTAAAGGAAAAAAGAAGAAGAAAAAAAAAAAACGGTTTTTTTTTTTTTTTTTTTGGCAACAAAAGACTGACCCATTTTGAGCCACGTGTGGGAGTACAGTTGCATGTGAAATGAGGCCTATCATGACCCCATGAACGTCCAGATTGAGCTACCCGGAAACGAGATCAGCTCAACATTCCTTCCGAACTCGTGGTACAGAATCTGCTGTGAGAACACAACCCAAGCTCTGTTCGTCTGAGGGCGGGTCCGAAGTGAAGCCGACATCCATTGACATCCGATATTGGTAGATCCTGACGGTTGAAATTCTCGATCCGAGGGTTGATATTTACCGACATCCATCGACATCCATTTGACGCTTCACTTCGGACACGCTCTGAGATGTTCTCTTTTGCCGACTGTATTTTTTGCTGGGGTCTCCAGGGTTTCGTGACACTCGGGTTGATACACACGACGCGTCTTGCTCAGCACGTACCTGTATGCGAACACTCTGCATCGTATAAAATACTTACCAAAACGCATTGAAACCATCCCTAGCACTTTCCAGTGCGTGAACAGATGAAGTGCGAGTTTTACACAGCATTAGGCCTTCGTGTCGACAAAAAGGGTCGCATGGAGAAAGCACTCTAGTCGCCGCGTTTCCCAACCACACGCCAACCACAAGTAACTGCATTGGGAGATGCTTCCTAGAAATAGTCAGCTTGCCCACAATTTTGGGTCAGTCCTCATTCTGTACATGGACTGAAGCGCAGATTCTGATGGCTCGTAAATAGCTTTTAGTCCGCCACGTCCTTCCTCTTCGCAATCCTTACCCACATTCGCTCGCGGCCGTGCTGGTAAAAATAGCTCTGAAGTCGATTCCACGTTTTCGCGAATTCGCGTGTTCCGTGGTCATCTCAATCTCCATCATCACATTCATTCCGTCCACGGTTCGTTGACGCGACGTGATCAGCTCGAATGCCTTTTCTGCTTTCAAGCTGCGCTGGCTCCTAAGCTTCGCGTAGATTAAAACGCTGGTTCTCTCGTATCTGTAGCTTGAGTTATTTCTGTGTCAAAGAAAGTTGTATCGTCAAACAGTGTATCAGGGAAAGGGGTAGCCTGCTAGTCTTCAATTTGCCAAATTGAAGTATGGGTCAGAGTGGATCGAGAGAGGAGCTGATACGTCACGCCGCGAAGCACGGCGACACGTCAGGCATCCGAGAGCTGGTTTCACGTGGAATAAGCGTCAATGTGAGATTTACTTATTTTATTCACTATTGTCTTTATAAGTTATTTATGCGAAGCACTCATTAAGAATTCACTTGCATCGCTCTGTTCGAGGTTGTTATCCATGTTTTTTTAAACTCGCTGATGCTTGTTCACGCCAATGTGACGCTTGTTTGAAGCTAGCATCCAAGTTTCCAGCTCCTTCTGGCGTGCGTTACACAGTACCCCCCCCCCTTGTCCCCCCCCTACCCAGTGCGTGGATTGAAAAGGTTGCACGCCTTATTCTAGCCAGCACCAGCGCAGAGGGATATGAGCCAGCGAAGCTGCTGCTGCTGCTGCTGCTGCTGCAGCTTGGCGAGACAAATGCTTTGCGCTTGTCGTCCCAATCATCCCCCTCATCCTCATCCACCCCACCCAGTGTGTGGTGTGGTGTGGACTCCAAGGGTCGCACGCCCTTGATTGGGCACGCACGATTCGATAGTTTGTCGGTAACTCAGATACTTTATGCCTGTCCCCTCCCTCGTCCCGAAACATCCACCCACACAGTGCGTGGATTCGAAGGGTCGCACGCCGTTGATTCTTGCCAGTAGCCGGGCAGAGGGGTATGAGGCGGCGAAACTTCTGCTGCAGTTGGGCGCTCTTGTTCGCGCCTACTCTAAAGGTGGGCTTGCCGGCTTGCTGTTGCGACTCAATCCTCAAGTGTACATCCACCCTATGTGCTATCACCAGAGTTCCTCTGTACATCCTCAGTTTCATTCAACCACTGTGGGTGGTTGTGTCCCCGCGCCCCACCTTCTCATCTTTGATCTCCATTCATCACAGCCACCTGATACCACTTTCTTTCGTGCCACTGATGACAATCATGATTCACATCTCTCATCCACATCCCCTCTCCCCCGTCCCTGCAGGTTTAGGAGGGGGGACGTCTATTCACTCTGCCAGAGCAGTATAGCCACTCATTATGTTACAGGACGGCCATTTTTAATGCCATACCTCTCCTCTCCTTTCCTCTCTTTCACACCTCTCCCCATCCCTGCAGGTCCAGGAGGGGGCACGGCTATTCACTATGCCGCTCGCAAGCAGCTAGATGCCACGGTGAAGCTGCTGCTGGACCATGGAGGTGAGCTGTAACCGTGTGGTATCCATGTGATAACCAGGTGACGTTTAAGTGGGCTTAAAGGTCCAGGAGGGGGCACGCCCATTCACTATGCCACTGGCAAGCAGCTTGATTCCACGGTGAAGCTTCTGCTGGACCACGGAGGTGAGCTGGTAACCATGTGGTAACCATGCATGCAGCAACCATGCGTGTGTAAGTAAGCGCGATATCTTATGACCGATGCCACAGTGAAGCTGCTGCTGGACCACGGAGGTGAGCTGGTAACCATGTGGTAAACATGCATGCAGCAACCATGCGAGTGTAAGTAAGCGCGATATCTTATGACCGATGCCACAGTGAAGCTGCTGCTGGACCATGGAGGTGAGCTGGTAACCACGCGGTAGCCATGGGCTCAGTATGTGTGTGTAAATGCGATGCCACGGTGAAACTGCTGCTGGACGATGGAGGTGAGCTGGTAACCACGTGGTAACCATGGGCTCAGTATGTGTGTGTAAATGCGATGCCATGGTGAAACTGCTGCTGGACGATGGAGGTGAGCTGGTAACCATGTGGTAACCATGCGTACAGTAACCATGCGTGTGTAAACGCGTTATCTTATGACCAATGCCATAGTGAAGCTGCTGCTGGACCATGGATGTGAGCTGGTAACCATGTGTTTGTCACAACGATACATTACGATCGATATGCCACAGTTAAGTTGCTTTTTCCATGAGAAAAAATTCCCCAACTCTTTTTTTTTTCCCCCATTTCCTTTGGTCCCCCCCTGCTTGTCCCTGTTGCAGCGGAACCCCTTCTTCCCAACGATGATGGAAGGAGCGCGCTGGACCTGGCGAGAGAGAGAAACGCCACTGCTGTTGTCCGACTCATAGAGGTGAGGGTCGTTGGGAAGGAGGGGGGGTCGCATGTGTGTGTGGGCGTGTGAGGAGAGAGAGTATGGGGGTTGGGAGTGAGGTGTAGAGAAGAACACCTTGCACCCCAAGGATGCGGAAGTAGATAAAAACATATCCTGGAGAAGTGGGGTATTGATCCCCATACCTCTTGCATGCTAAGCGAGCGCTCTACCATCTGAGCTACATCCCCATGCTGCCAAGGCTAGTGGGCATTTAAAAATAGACTGGGGCAAACACTGAGAAGGTGCGAGGGATGTGTGAAGGGATGGGCCGCTTGCACCAGCAATCCCTCTCAGCACTAAAACATGCTGACTTGGGCACTCGCGAGTTACACCAGCAGACCCTCTCAGCACCGTTAACGCTCTGCTCCTGTTATTTCCTCCCTCCTTACCACCCTTCCCCCTCCTGTTGCCCCCCTCCCAGTTCTCACTTGCTTGGCTTGCCTTGCCCCATCACAGCCTACCTCCCGGCCTTGTCTGAGTTCTACGTCTATAACACTACAGGGTATGCTATGTGACTTTTGAGACGTCTCAAAAGTCTATAACACTACAGGGTATGCTATGTGACTTTTGAGACGTCTCAAAAGTCTATAACACTACAGGGTATGCTATGTGACTTTTGAGACGTCTCAAAAGTCTATAACACTACAGGGTATGCTATGTGACTTTTGAGACGTCTCAAAAGTCTATAACACTACAGGGTATGCTATGTGACTTTTGAGACGTCTCAAAAGTCTATAACACTACAGGGTATGCTATGTGAGCCAACAGACCCAGTCAACGCTGTTGTCAGCTGTTGAAATGTCTCTCCCCACTTTCTTCCTCTCTTCTCCTTTCCCCCCACCTCCTATCCCCCTTTTTCCCCCACCCTGTTCTCCTCTGTCTGGCGGGTTGCCCCATCAGAGCCGGGTGGCATTGTTCGAAGGCTATGTGCGCCAGCAGACCCTCTCGGCACCGTCGCTAGTGAAAGCCTTTATCCCGCAGTGGGTGTACCGGAGAATGTGAGTTGCATGCGGTCCTGCTTTCAATGGGGGCACAGGAGGGAGGGAGGGAGTGGATGGGGCACTGGAGAGTGTGAGTCGTACGTACTCATTGCTGCTCTCGATAGGTGTTCAGGAGATTTTTAGTTGCCTTGGCTACTGCTTTCAATGGGTGTGTAGGGGAGTGTGAGGAGAAGGCAGATTTGCTTTTCCACTACCCACGCCACTGTTTTTCCGCACTCCTCTGCCTCTGCTATCACCTCACCTCACTCTCCACGCACCCCTCTCCACGTTTCTCCACCGCTCTCCGCCCATGCCTCTGCAGCTGGGTGGCAGTGCTACCTGGGCCCACCATGAGTGATGGACGCCAGACATTCCGCCTCGCTCTCTATCCCTCCATGGCTGTGAGTGTGTGCATGCATGCATGGCTGTGAGTGTGTGCATGCATGCATGGCTGTGAGTGTGTGCATGCATGCATGGCTGTGAGTGTGTGCATGCATGCATGGCTGTGAGTGTGTGCATGCATACATGGCTGTGAGTGTGTGCATGCATGCATGGCTGTGAGTGTGTGCATGCATACATGGCTGTGAGTGTGTGCATGCATGCATGGCTGTGAGTGTGTGCATGCATGCATGGCTGTGAGTGTGTGCATGCATGCATGGCTGTGAGTGTGTGCATGCATGCATGGCTGTGAGTGTGTGCATGCATGCATGGCTGTGAGTGTGTGCATGCATGCATGGCTGTGAGTGTGTGCATGCATGCATGGCTGTGAGTGTGTGCATGCATGCATGGCTGTGAGTGTGTGCATGCATGCATGGCTGTGAGTGCATGCCCGCATGGCATTCCGCCTCGCTCTCTATCCCTCCATGGCTGTGAGTGCCCGCGTGCATGGGTGTGAGTGCATGGGTGTGAGTGCATGGGTGTGAGTGCATGGGTGTGAGTGCATGGGTGTGAGTGCATGGGTGTGAGTGCATGGGTGTGAGTGCATGGGTGTGAGTGCATGGGTGTGAGTGCATGACCTGCTACAGTTTCGCGCGCCCTATTTTGGCATAGCCCTGCGCGTGCCTGTGTGGCCCCTCCTCTTCTCCTCTCCTGTCTGCTGCAGTTTGGCGCGCGCTATTTCGAAACACCACTGCACGTGCGTTTTCCCCTCAGAAAGAGCCCCCTTTCCCCCTCGTCCCCTGCTCTTCTCTTCCTTCCCTTCACGACCTGCTGCAGTTTGGTGTGCCCTAGGCATAGCACTGCAAGTGTGCCGCATTCACATGACCAATCTGGACTCCCCTATGCCCCTCTCTCCACCAGTCTTTCACTCCCTCCCGTCGACCCCCCTCCTCCCCCTTCACAACCCACTGCAGTTTGGAGCACCCTATTTCGACATAGCACTGCATGTGTGCCGCATTCACATGACCAATCTGGACTCCCCTATGCCCCTCTCTCCACCAGTCTTTCACTCCCTCCCGTCGACCCCCCTCCTCCCCCTTCACAACCCACTGCAGTTTGGAGCACCCTATTTCGACATAGCTCTGCATGTGTGCCGCATTCACATGACCAATCTGGACTCCCCTATGCCCCTCTCTCCACCAGTCTTTCACTCCCTCCCGTCGACCCCCCTCCTCCCCCTTCACAACCCACTGCAGTTTGGAGCACCCTATTTCGACATAGCACTGCATGTGTGCCGCATTCACATGACCAATCTGGACTCCCCTATGCCCCTCTCTCCACCAGTCTTTCACTCCCTCCCGTCGACCCCCCTCCTCCCCCTTCACAACCCACTGCAGTTTGGCGCACCCTATTTCGACATAGCTCTGCATGTGTGCCGCATTCACATGACCAAGCTGGACTCTGCCAACCCTGTACTCGTTATAGAGGACCCCGTTCATGGTATGACACCTCCTTCTCTCATGCTACTCTTTCCCAACACCCTATGCGATTCCTCTTTCTCTCAGTGTGGCTTATTTGTGATCTTATTAACTTAACTATTCTGGGGGGGGGGGGGGGACCTCGCACTGAGTGTGGCTTATTTGTGAACTTAGTTGCATTGCTGTGTTGCTAATGGCTTTAAGTTTTGAGACGTTTCATAACTCGGCTTATCTCTGCTCTCTTTTGAGGCGCCTCAAAAGTTGTGTGATGTGTGTTGTGTTTGTTGCACTCTATGCCTATGTCTCTCCATCATACACGTTGATGTGCATCACATCTCATGTGCGCATTGCTGTGCCCATCTGCCTGCATGTTCACGCACGTGTGCATGCATGTACATGCACGCATGTGTCCAACCCCACATGTCCGCATGTGTGTGTGTGTATTGTTTATTTATGCATGTGCGTGTGACTGCATGTTTAAATGTGTGTGACTGCATGCCTGGATGCATGTGTGCATGCATCTGTCCACACCAGCGGAGAAGGGCAAGTGGAAGTTTGTGAGTGACAAGGACTCACCCGACCCCTCCCATGTGTGTGTGCATGCCCGCTTGCATCCCTGCATGCATCCCCCCATGCATCCCCCCATGGCCTCTATGGCAGCGGAGAAGGGCAAGTGGAAGTTTGTGAGCGACAAGGATTCACCCGACCCCTCGCAGATATTCCGCCTGCACGACGCCTGCCGGGGAACACCACGGGTATTTTTCTTATTCCCTCACACTCTTCCCTCCCTCTCACAATTCCCTCCTTTCTCACTCTTCCCTCGTCTCCACTCTTCTCACTTCTCCTCTCCCTTCTCAGATATTCTGCCTGCATTACGGGGAATGGCATGGGTGACTTCTTGCTTCCCTCTCTCCCCTCCCTACTCTCTCTGCTCGCATCCTCTATCTCCTCTCTCCTCTCTCTGCTCGCATCCTCTCTCCCCTCCCTCCTCTCTCCACCCTCACTCCCTCTTGCCTCTCTCTCCTCTCTTTCTTCTCACTCCTCTTCCCATCCCTCCATCTCCTCTCATTTCTCTGCTCTCTCATTCTTCTCTCCTTTCTCACCCTTCTCTCCCCTGCCCTCCCAACCTTCTCTCCCCTTTCCCTCTTCCCACACACACATGCACGTTGGCGTGCCCTTTCACCTAATCCCTCACATCGACGTTAACAAGAGACGATTTTTGAGGCGCCTAAAAAAACCTTCTCTCTCCTTTCCCTCTTCCCACACACACATGCACATTGGCATGCCCTTTCACCTAATCCCTCACATCGACGTTTCCGAACCACATTCTCAAGTTTTGAGGCGTCTAAAAAAAAACTTTCACCTAATCCCTTACACCGACGTTTCCAAACCACATTCTCAAGCCTCAATCCCTCCCATTCTCGCACCCTCCAATCTCTACCTACCCCATGCAGGCTCGCACCCAGTCAGCCAATCAGCATCCGCCACCTCAGCATGTGGCATCCTCTCCCCACACCCCACAATCACATGCACCATCACCGGAAACCCAGCTCCCAGCGTCTCGCTCTCACACTGCCCCCTCCTCCATTGACCATCCCCCCCCACCACAGATGCACCCCACCATGTACCCCCAACCTCCCGCCGCTCCTCCTGTTTCCCCTTTTGCTGCTCCTCCTGCTCCTGCTGCTGCTGCTGCTGCTGCTTATGATGCTTATGCTGCGGCCTATTACACACAGCAGCAGGCACAACAGCAGCAGCACGCATGGCAGCAGTATCAGCAGCAGCAGCAGCAGGCATGGCAGCAGCAGCAGCAGGCATGGCAGCAGCAGCAGCAGCAGCAGCAGGGAGGGTGTTCTGGAGCAGCAGAAGGAGCAGGAGGGATGACATCAGCATCATCTGAATCCAGGGGCGTGGTGAACGTGCACGCGTGGCAGGATGACGTGGACGAGGACACGGCGTTCCAGCTGGCACTGACTGAGTCGATGCACACTGCCAGCACCGCTGGTTCTTCCCGAGCCAACGCTCCTGGTGCTTCTAGTGCTTCTAGTGCCGCCGCTGCGGCTGCTCAGGGGATGAGCAGAGGGGAGGGAGGAGCAGACGGGTTTATTCTCACCCGCTCCTCCTCCGAGCCTCAGTCCAGATCCGGACGCTCCCTCTCCTCATCTTCCTCTTCCGCTGCTGGTGTTGGTGCTGCTGCCTCTGGTGCATCCACTTCTTCTCATCGCTCCTCCAGGTCCGTTTCAGCCTCTGCTGATCGCCACCCCTTTGCCCCACCTGCTGCTCCTATCCCCTCTTCCTCTGCTGCTGCCGGCACTTCCTCTGGCATTGCCGCTGGTCCTGCAGCTGGCTCTGCGGCTGGTTCTGCAGGTACAGCTGGCACTGCTGGCACTGGTGTTGCAGCAGGCGTGGAAGGGGGTAGAATGCGCGACGAAATTGCGAATCAGTTCTCCTCTGTGGCACCGGCGTTCAACCGAGCAGCAGCAGCCGTGTCGTCGCTCTTTGCTTCTGGCCCACCGTCAGCACCCCCTGTGGATGGTCCTGCTTCCACATCAGGAGCATCAGTGGGAGCAGGGAGAGTGCCAGGAGCAGCCGTGACAGGCCAGCCAGCTTCAGCAGCAGCAGCAGCACCAGCAGCAGCATCAGTATCACCAGCACCAGCAGGAGCAGCTCCAGCTTTCAATGCTAGAGCAGCAGTGGCTGCTGAGGCAATTGCAACAGCAGCAGGGGCTCTCACGTCAGCAACAGCCGCTGTAGCCGCGACGGCATGGCAGCGAACCACGGGCCACCGTGCTTCCTTCTTCGACCCTCCTCTCATCCAGTTCTCCCCTCCCAGCAGCCCCAGGCGAAACTCACACCCTCCCATCCACCCTCAGGCTCAACCACCTATCATCACCCACCACGTTCAACCACCTATCACCCATCAGCACCCACCTGTTTCCATGAACCCTCAGGTGCAACCACCCAACTCCCATCCCCATACACCTGCCAGCATCCCATCCCCTGCTGCTGCAGCGTTGGTAGCTATTCCTGGTGCGTCTTTATCGTCTGTAGGCGGCTCGTTTGCTGGTCTTCCTTCGCCAGGAGCAGCATCTGTAGCGGAGCTACATCCAAGCTACAACCCTGAGAGGGTGCGGGCAGAGCTCGCCAGGGCACAGAGCCAAGGGCACGGAGCGGCAGGAGGAAGGGCAGCAGGAGGAAGGGCAGCAGGAGGAAGGGCAGCAGGTACATCGACAGGCGCAGGAGCAGGAGCAAGAGCAGGAGACGAGGCAGGGGCAGAGGCAGGGGCGGGAGCAGGAGTAGCAGCAACGGGAGGGGCAGCAGGAGAGGCATCTAGAGAGGGTCAGTGCGTGATTTGCTGGGATTCAGCAGCGCAGGCAGTGTGTGTGCCTTGCGGGCACGTGGCGGGGTGTGTGGAGTGTCTAGCTGAGGTTAGGTCTAAGGGCTGGGGTTGCCCTGTCTGCCGAGCTCCCATTCGAGAAGTGGTGAAGATCTTCCATGTTTAGATTTCGTGCTTGCTTGATGTTTGCGGTGAGAACATCATTTTTGCTTTGCATATTCCTAGCCTAACTGTGCTACACTGACACCTTGCTAAGCATGACATCTGCTTCAGCAAGTTCACATTTTTCAAATATAACAGATACACCAGTGATATACATTGAGGAGCAGGGCAAATTTTTGGATTTGACATACCCTTAAGATCAGTGTACCCCTATCTCAAAAAACTGATTATCAGTGTGACCCCCTACAGAAAAACTTTCACATCAGGGTATTGTTAACTTTTTAAAAATTTACCCTGTCGCATCAGTGTAACATTTTTGTAAAGCCTGGTCATTTTATTTTAATGCTGCACGCAATACAGATCCTACTCATCATCAGACATGGCCCAAGGGTGTTCATCGTGGTCACTTCCCTCCTCTGGCTCTGGTGCCTTCTGCTTCCCCTTCCGATCCACAGGTATCGGGGGCGCAACTGATTTCGCAGGCTTGCGCGTTTTCTGCTTGCGCCAGATGTCCACCACGTCTGGCCAGACGTAGGGGTACTTCAGCATGTGCAGCGTCATCAGGTCGCCAAGGCGTGCATCGCACAGCGATGTACGCATCCAGCTCTTTATGATATTCTGGCGACTGAACCCTCTCTCACACTCCACTGTGCTCAGTGGCAGCACAGCGAGGGCCTGCCAGAGTGTCATTAGGTTCGGATAGCTGCGTCGCCAATCCCGGCTCTTCAACATGCTGTGAAGACCCTGATGAAAATTTTCTCCCGCGTGATGGCGTGGCATGATGTGACAAAAGCTCCTCAGCTCCTTCTTGGCGGCCTTGAAATCGAATCCTGACGGAGAAGGGGTTTGGGGCGGGGGAAGTAGTTAGCGGTGGTTGTCCGATGTTGGATGACATGCATGAGACAATACGTGTGAAAGGAAATGAAACATCACAGCTCACCTGGTAGCATGCCGCCAAACAGCTCGTCATTTGCGGCCAGCCACTCGAGGGTCTTCAATTCGCGCTGGTCATCTCTGCTCGGCCACGATTCAACTTGAAACAGCTTAGCGCCGCCCAACTGCTGCAAGTCCCACATGCGGTACTTCATGCGTGCGACAATTTCCTTCGCGAACCCTGTGCAGAGCTTCTCGCAGTCAGCAAGCGTGCCCCCAAACTTGTGCTTCTTGATTGGGGTCTCGCTCAGCTCGAACTTGTGTGATGTCTGCCGCCCCTCCGAGTCAATGCCTTCAACCACCACCGTCCGGTTGTCACCACCGTGCTGCTTAATGAACTTGGACAGGTGCTTGCTGGCCCCGCCGCCAAAGGTGTCTTCGTACTGTATGTAACGGTGAGTGATGATGGTGATCGTGTGGTCGACTTCTTTGGCCACTAGTGTGATGTCCACCTGAACACAACGGGCACGTGAAACATGTTAGTCGAGGAACAATTTAGTGTTACCACAATAACGACCGGTACAAATGGAACTTGCCTTGCGGTGCTGGAAGAAGCGGTTGAGAGAGTTGAGCACAGCAAGAATGTCTGCGAGGAAGTACAAACAGAAGTGAAATTTGAAGGTCTGTACTGTTGCAACAATTTTGTGGCGGTACTCAACAATCATGACGATCGCCGCCCCAAGTACTCTGCATAGCCTCGCTATAGCATCTCCGCGTGATAGCCAACGGACGTTGAAAATTCCCTGGTGTTCAAGATTTGTCTTGTGTATCTCTTGTTGCAGCTCCTTGAATCTGTCGTACCAAATGTTGGAACGGCAGATGATCTCTCCCACGGCTCGCACTGCAGCGTCGATCATGTTCAGGTCGGGGAAAGCCTTCGCAGCATCCTTGACCACGAGTGCTTCCCTGCAACACATCCAAGTGGTAGATTGGTTAAGCTTAACGATGAACGGTTTTACAGCATTGCATGCGATGATTCTCGGAAACGCTTAAGTGAAGCTCACCGATGCGCGACGCAGTGACATCGGACGAGATGCGGCACGTGCTCTTGCAAACGGCTAACCAGACCGTTCTTCTCCCCCGTCATCACAGAAGCTCCGTCGGTGCCGATGCCGGAAACCCGCTTGATGTCCACCCCAACAGACTCCAGGTGGCTTGTGAGCACAGTGAAAAGCGAGGATGCGTCGCACTTGTGCACCGTCAGTAGCGACAGAAATTCCGTGACGGACACGTTATTTTTGAGGAAGGTGGCAAATACGATCAAATGTTTGCCGCGAGCGCGATCGGTGCTCTCGTCGCAAGTAATGCCGATGAATGGTGAAGCGAGAAGATGCTGCAGCTGCTGTGTTTTCTGGTACTTAGCCATCGCCGAGGCCATTTCGTTGAATCCGTACCTGCCACAAGCCGAGGTGAAAGCGCTTAGACACAAATGGAATGCGGAAACATTCGTTGCGGTCTGGCTATTTTGGCACACGCTTACTGTGTGATGTACACGCCGTAGGACTGAAGCGGTATGTCCTCTACTCCCTCCTCTGCGAGGAAGCCTATGAGCTTCTGAAACATCGCGATCGGTGCGTCGTTGTTGCAGATAAACTCCACGCCGCGCATGAGACGAGTCAGCCGCGCCCCCTCCTTGTCGGTATTGGCGAAGTCGTCGATCCTCTTCTGGTGCTCGATCTCCGCCATGAGCGTCCGCTGCCGCTTCATCGCTTCCTCGTGGCGGCCGCTCAGCTCGTGGCATCGCATTGATCCGAGCTGCAGATCACGGCCCCCCGTTCCGTTCCGTCCGAATTTCGCATCGTCCTTTCCATGCTCCACGCAGATGCTGCATCGCAGAATGGGCAGGCCGTCGGCGTTCTTGTCCAGCAGCAGCCAGCCAAATTTCGGCAGCCACTGCGTGATGTATAGCTGCTGCGCCTTCAAAAATTTCTCTTCAGCCTTCTCGGCGTCGGTGAGTTCACGGGAGACTGGCTTCGGAACTTGGAGTGGAGCGGGCGGCGGAATCGGTTTCGCTGGTGGCGTGCCGAACGGTAGAACGGCCTGCGCGTAGCGACGCCTCTTCTTCGAGGCTGCAGACGATGATTCGCCCACCTCTGACACGCTGACAGTGGCGGGAGCACTGTCTGGCGTGACGGCATTGGAAGCAGGCGGGGGTGACAGACTCTGTTTCCCTTTGCTGCAAGAAGACGGGCCTGGAGTGAGGACAAGCGGAGGGTTCGCATGCACCGCGCGCAGGAAATAAAGGCCTGTTCGTGCGGGCACATCCTTCGATGGCTCGTCAGCAGCTTCTCCGTCACTGTCCTCTGCAGGAGCCATGGCTGCTTAAGGACAGCAGGAGAACCGCCAACGTTGCTCTACTTGGCGTGAGTGCTGTGTTCTTGCGAGAGGAAACCTCGCATGTGTTCATGACCCCTGTCATTTCGTGCCTCTGTTTCCTAACGTGCACGCAAACAAGCAGCGGAGCCTGCCTCAGTCGTGCAAGGAACGCGGTGCCCAGTGGGCTAGTGGGCATCGAATTGTTGCTGCATTCAGCCAAGTTTCCAGCCAACCCGGCCTTGTTGTCAAGTCTGACAAACAGACCAAGGAGCGGAGGTGGCGGTGCCAGCAAAGAAACTGTAAACCTGGCCAATAGTGGCCCTCTGTGTGCCAGCACAGGAGTTGTCAAGGCCGAAATTCCGGCCTCAGTGGCCTTGGTGGAATCCCAGGTTACGGGAAAGGGGGGGTGGGTGAACCGGGGGGAGGGGGGGTGTAGGGTACGCGTTACAGGGTAAAACTTGTTACGGGATCCGTAAACCCTTGGCCATCAGTGTGCCTTACAAAAAAAACCTGACACATCAGGGTAAATCAACCTCCCCAAAAAAAAACCCTAGCCCATCAGTGTGACCATCAAAAACCACCCTGATTATCAGGGTATCAGGGTGATTTACACTGATAAAATTAGGCCTGTTGAGGAGGTGTAGTGTTTTTTAAATGTATTATGCACTTGGAAAGTCTCATCATATGTGATTGGTTGGTGTGCTGTTGCGTGTTTCTCGGGCTGCCTCATCTGTCGCTTTCCATAACCGAGATCGCAGGTTTTGCGTAAAAACTGGAGGTTCGTTGCAACTCATCTGAGCATAGTAGGTTTTAACTGTTACTCTTCATAAAGACGACATTGTCCAAAAAAAAAAATGTAAATTCTTCATCATTCGAGGTGTTAAGAGCTTCAGGTGTATCAGTTGATTCCATTCTTTTAAGTGCAGGTTAATTAAATTGGTTTTTGTTTTTCATTGATGAAAGATACACTAAGAGTGTACAATACATAGATTTGTTATACGCGTTTCACGTTCTGCGCATGCTGTGGCACTTGCGCATTTCGCGGGCCTGCCGCGTCAACCGCTTTCCCGGCCCAGATTCCAACGAGTGAGGCGGTCAACGGGCTTCAACGATAGCGCAGGTTCTATGGAGCCCCTTGGCGTGACCAAGCAGCACAGCGGATCAGTCGGAAGCTCATTTGTGAGTCATTTTGGCTTCGCAGGTTGGGATTGTAATACGAAAGGAACATTGTTGAATCTCCCTGTCCTGAAATGCGCCTACAAAACCTGAGATAGAGGCGCAAGTCGCGGATTTGACCTGGCGGGAAATAGATATCCCGCCAAAACTAATCGCATCGCATCCTTTCACACCCCCAAGGCAAGAACGCTTTCAAGCCGCGTCCCCTCCCCACCACCACACCACATTAGTATAAAAACATGCACCCGTCACTCACATCAGCATCCTCCTCAGTACTCTCACTCGAGCTTTCTCGCAAATCGAGCTCTTGCTGCTCGCACATTTCCACTGTTTTCTAGCTCGTCCCCGCGTAGCAAGTGCTCGGACTCCGAGCGGAGAGAGTCGTTCCTGCACGATGGCCTGCAAAATGCGAGTCACAGTGTTGGCTCTTCTGCTGCTCGCGCTTTTAGCGGCGTCGGCGTTTGTAACGCCCAGTGAGTGTCCCACTTTGTTGCCCACTTTTCTTTCCTCTAATCACAACCATTTCCAATACGGTTCACCTCCATTCTCTATAATGCCAATTTATTATTTCAATTCCATCAATTAACTTGCGCCCTTATCGTGCATTCTATATAAATCGGCATTTACGATATTATATAACGTGTCTTGTCCATCGGCGCAGGATCCGCGAGGTCCCTCGCTCCGCGCCGCAGCCTTGTTCTTAAAGCACAATCACTTTTGAAGGCAACAGCAACCAGACCAGTTTTGATAACTGTTGATTTGGGCGACGGCAATGAAGTTGATTTGGGCGGCGGCAGTGGCGGAGATTTGGGCAGCGGCAGTGGCGGAGATTTTGGCGACGGCATCGGCGGAGATTTGGGCGGCGGCAGTGGTGGAGCCCTGGGCGCCGGCAGTGGCGGAGACCTGGGCGGCGGAAGTGGCGGAGACCTGGGCGGCGGAAGTGGCGGAGACCTGGGCGGCGGAAGTGGCGGAGACCTGGGCGGCGGAAGTGGCGGAGACCTGGGCGGCGGAAGTGGCGGAGACCTGGGCGGCGGAAGTGGCGGAGACCTGGGCGGCGGAAGTGGCGGAGACCTGGGCGGCGGAAGTGGCGGAGACCTGGGCGGCGGAAGTGGCGGAGACCTGGGCGGCGGAAGTGGCGGAGACCTGGGCGGCGGAAGTGGCGGAGACCTGGGCGGCGGAAGTGGCGGAGACCTGGGCGGCGGAAGTGGCGGAGACCTGGGCGGCGGAAGTGGCGGAGAGCAGGGCGGACCCGGCGAAGAGCAGGGTGGACCCGACGGAGAGCAGGGCGGACCTGCCGGAGAGCAGGGCGGACCTGGCGGAGAGCAGGGCGGACCTGGCGGAGAGCAGGGCGGACACGGCGGACAGCAGGGCGGCCGGCAGGGCGGACAGGGCGGACCGCCGCAGCGAGGTCAGCAGGGCGGAGAGCAGGGCGGACAGCAAGGCGGACGTGGCGGACCACCGCAGCAGGGCGGACAGCAGAGCGGATAGCAGGGCGGATTTGGCGGACCGCCGCAGCAGGGCGGACAGCAGAGCGGATTTGGCGGACAGCAGGGCGGCCAGCAGGGACCGCCGCAGGGCCTTACTGGCGGACAGCAGAGCGGACAGCAGAGCAGACAGCAGGGCGGACAGCAGGGCGGATCTGGCGGACCGCCGCAGCAGGGCGGACCTGGCGGGCCGCCGCAGCAGGGCGGACAGCAAGGCGGACAGCAGAGCGGATTTGGCGGACAGCAGGGTGGCCAGCAGGGACCGCCGCAGGGCTTTACTGGCGGACAGCAAAGCGGACTGCAGGGCGGACAGCAGGACGGACAGCAGGGCGGATCTGGCGGACCCCCGCAGCAGAGTGGGCAGCAGGGCGGACAGGGCGGATCGCCGCAGCAGGGCAGACAGGGTGGAGCAGGCAGCTCGAGATTCGCTACCACTCAGAGTGTGAGAGACAGTGCGATCAATACAACAGGTGGCAAGGGTGGCAAGGGAGGGAAGGGAGGGAAGGGCGGCAAGGGAGGCAAGGGAGGAAAGGGCGGAAAGGGTGGCAAGGGCGGAAAGAAGTGAGCTACGAAGACCCCTTCCGTTTCTGTTAGATGCTTTATTGCCATGTTGCTTGTGATTGTCTGTAGATTACGTTTGTATCATCCCATGTTGTAACATTTTTGTCTTTTGAATATTTTTGTATGTTTTTATCAAGCAAGTTATCCAGATTTCTATCCAAAACAAAGCTCATATGAGCAGGAAACTTCAGCCCATTTCTCTGTAGCATAACGCATCCTCCAACCGATTTCCCTGAATCACAATTTGATTAGACATTTTTTTTCTGTTTCTGTTGCACAATTTGATTGTACCTATTTGAATGGTGATGCCGTACCTAGTAGTATCAATCTGCCTCCAGTCCCCTGTGGATCATGCCTTAAATGGCCCAAGCAGAATTGCTGGCTGGGGTGAGCTGGCTGTGAGACTCAGGACGCGTCCCGCACTAAAACACCGGTTGATGCATTTCACAACTAGCAGAACCTTTTCCAACCCCGCCAAAAATCGATCCTACGCAGGCTCGATCGAGGGAGGGGACGCGTCCTCAGCTGCTCTCTGTCCTAATACTGTGTGCGGTTGTACCGTAGTTACATTGGATGTACATCTGTAGAGTACGGTACAATGCCTTATGCAAAAGCCACCGGTAGAGCTGCCTGGTTTCTGCTGCTTAGCTAAGCTGAGCTACTGATGAGGGGTAAGGGGATGGCTGGCTGTTCAATTCATCTACAGTGTTATAATATTTGGGGTGCATGAAGTGGAGTTGAAGGTAGTTGATAAGAATGTTACGAACTACTGTATTGTTATGAACATTGAAAGCAGAAACGTTACTGAGTGTAGCTGTGGCTATCAACTGTGGCTTGGCTAGCTACACCATCTTGAAGAGGAACCACTATCCATATGTCAAATGTAATTCTATGCTTGTAGGCTACAGTGAGTAGCATAATAGGGGGTACAGTTGTTAGGGTTGCATATTTGTACTCTCACACTTTCTAGTTTCGGTCATTCCGTTGCATTCCTATTCTGAGATGGTATCACGAGTAGGTTAGATCCTCGTTCGTTTTTAGCTAGCCTTCGTGCCCTACGCGCCCTCCGTGCTCTCGCGCCCTCCGCGCCCTCCTCGCGCCTAGCCCGCGCCCTCCCACGCTGTCCAGCCTGTCGCGCGCCCTCCTTAGACCTCCGCGCGCCCTCCAAAACCGTCGTGCACCCTCCTTAGACCGCCGCGCGCCCTCCTCAACCGTCGCGCGCCCTCCTTAACCGTCGCGCGCCCTCCTCAACTGTCGCGCGCCCTCCTTAGACCGTCGCGTGCCCTCCCTCCGCCTGTCGCGCGCCCTCCTCCGTCAACGCTTCCCGCACACCAGCGTGCGCTTACCGCACACCTGCGTGCACTTACCACACACCTGCGTGCACTTACTGCACACCTGCGTGCACTTACCGCATCACTCTGTGTGCGCTTCCCGCACATCTGCGTGCGCTTCCCGCACACCTGCGTGCGCTTACCGCACACCTGCGTACACTTACCGCACACCTGCGTGCGCTTACCGCACACTTGCGTACACTTACCGCATCACTCTGTGCGCTTACTGCATCTCTCTTCCCTTCATCTGTGCACCGGTCCCACGCCATTCATACTGCACTTGGCTCCCGGCTCAGCGGCTGGCAGCCGCTCTTCCCTCCGGTAGCGCCACCTAGGTTCGGTTAGAGCCCCGCCCCACGACTGTTTTCTTGCCGATTGTCTCTCGTCGGTTTCCCTGCTGGCGCCCCTAGCCCTCCGTAGTTTTCCTCCTCGTTCTTAGCTCCGCCTCCGCCGTGCTCCAGTCGCCTCTAGCATGGGCTCCGCTATGGAAGCCCGTCGCCTCCGTTTCGATGCTGAAGGACGCCCGATCGATTTTGGTACCTGGAGCGCCAGACCACACGTTTCCTCACCAGCCAGCGTCATGACGGCGCCACTCTGTGGGCCCACGCGTCGGGTGCTCTCGCGGCACCCCCGTCCCCCGCCGCCCTGCCGACCGCCCCGGAGCCGACTCCTACAGCCCAGGCGGACTACGACCGTCGGGTCCTGGCTCGGGACGTGTGGCTCTCTTGTGACGCGGCCGCCGCCCTCACGCTATCGGAGCTTCTCCCCCCGACTGAGGCCGCTCACTTTGACCAGGTGGAGACAGCCAAGGGGGTTTGGGATGCTATTGTGGCTCGCTATTCCACCCCCTCCTCCGCCTCCCTCAGTCGCCTCCTCATGCCGTTCGTGTTTCCCGACCTAGGCTTGTTTGCGATTGTTTCCGACCTAGTGACTCACCTCCGCTCGCTTGACGCCGGTTTTTGTTCGGCCTGTACCGACGCACAGCTCCTTGTTGCTCCCCCCCCCCCATATGGCTCACTGTGCACTGGTTAGTCACCCGTCTCCCTGACCGCCTTGCCACTGCCCGCGACGCGCTTCTTCAGAAGCACCCCACTGAACTCACTATAGACCTCCTTCAGACTGCTCTCGGGACCATCGAGAGCAACCTCCTCACCGTTGCCTCCGCCACTGATGCGGTGGCCCCCCGTCTCTTTGCGGGGTGTGCTGCCCCTCAGCTTCCCACTTTCACCGCTACCCGCGCTTCTGCTGTTGTGTCGGTCTCTGAGGACACCGCTGCCGTATCTACCGCAGACTGGCAGAAATGGGGCAAGAGTGGCAAGAAGGGCGGGAAGGGGGGAGGTGGGGGCGGAGGAGGTGGCGGTGGAGGGGGCGGTGGAGGTGGGAGCGGCGGTGGTGGTGGAGGCGGCGGCGGCGGCGGTGGCGGCGGCGGCGGCGGCGGCGGCGGCGGTGCACCAGGGGGAGGGGGCCTTGGAGGAGGCGCAGGAAAGACAGGTCCACCCACAGGTGGTGGCCCGACCGGTGGGGGTGCTGCCCCCCAGCAGCAGCAGCCACAGCAGGGACAGCAGCAGCAGCAGGGACAGCAGCAACAGCAGGCACCGCAGTAGTTCCAGCAGTGGGGGCCCCCGCTACAGTGGGGTCCGCAGCAGCACTGGGGTCCCCCGCGCAGTGGGGTCCGGGAGGCCCTGGGAGGACCGGCCGCAGCAGCAGCTCTTCCAGCTGGGCCCCTCGCCCCCCTCGCCGTGACGCTAGCCACTGGTTCCTCACCGAACCGGGCAGCCCTTGTCTCTGTGGTCGCGACGACCACTCCGCCGCGCGGTGCTTTCGCCGCCTCGACGACCTCTACCGGGCTCGTTGGGGCCCCCTGGCGGTCACGCCTCGCTGGTCTCGTCTGTTAACCCGCAAGGTTGATGTCTTTGATTTGTCCATGGACGATGCGCGTCAGCATGCTTTGTATGTTGATGCTGACTTTAGTGCTGAGGGATCTGTCTGCTCGCGTGTTCGTAGTTTAGCCTGCTTGCCTCCTGCTAGTGTAGCCTTGTGCCTGCCTAGCTTAGGTGCTTGTGTTGCTGCTCTAGGTGCTTGTGTAGAGACTGGGTCAGGTGACCCTCCGCCTGAGGCCTCTCTGTCGTTCACACTAGACTCGGGCGCGTCTCAGTGCTTCTTCCGCGACCACACGACCCTTACGCCACTCCTCACTCCTGTGTCACAGGCTCTGGCTGATCCTACCTCTGGACCAGCCGTTGCGCGTAGCTCCACCACCCTCCCGTGCCCTGTGGTCCCCTCTGGTGTCCTTCGCGGCCTCCACATCCCCTCGTTCACTCGGAACTTGGTGGGTGTTGGATACCTCCAGGACAAGGGGATCACGGTTACCTTCGTGGGGGGTGGGCTGACTGCAGTCTGTATAGACGCTACCACACGTGCTGTTCTGGCCACGTTCACTAGGGAACCCCGCTCCGGTCTCTACGTTCTCCACACCGAGCGCTCTCAGGTCGCGTCCTCCCCTCAGGTCGTTGCGTCCCCTCCGGCCCAGGTCCGAAGTCCAGTTGTGGTGTCTAGCCAGGTAGTCGTGTCCGGTCCGTTCGCTGTGTCCAGTCCAGTCGCTGCGTCTTGCTCCTGTCGCTCTCTAGCCCACCGCACCGTCCTGTGGCACCACCGCCTTGGCCACCCGTCGATCCCTCACCTTCGTGGCATGCTCGGTCAGGGACTTGTCACAGATCTCCCACGCACCTTCCCGTTGCTCCCTCTCTCGCTTGCCCCTCCTTGCTCTCAGTGCGTCGCCGGTCGCTTACGCGCCACTCCCCACTCCTCCTCCCTTCGTCCGGCCACCGCTCCCTTCGAGACTCTCCACTTGGACGTCTGGGGCCCTGCCCCGACGTAGGGGTCTGGGAGGGAGCGTTACTTTCTGGTGGTCGTCGACGACTTCTCCATGTACACCACAGTGTTCCCTCTTGCGAAGAAGTCCGAGGTGACTGCTACGCTGATCAGGTGGCTTCTAGCCACTGAGGGCACTGGTGGTCGTCAATTCAGTAGTCTCCACTCCGACCGTGGGGCAAGTTTCGCTCCGGCATTCTCGGCGGATTCTGCGGCGAACAGGGCATCACACAGTCCAGGACGATGCCAGCGTCCCCACAGCAGAATGGGGTTGCTGAGCGCCGCATAGGGCTGGTCATGGACATTGCCTGCACGTCCATGATCCATGCCCGTGCGCCCCATTTTCTGTGGCCCCACGCGGTTCGCTACGCCGCACACCAGCTGAACCTCCAACCGCGTGTCTTGCGGCCCGAGGCTTCACCGACCATTCTTTGGACTGGTTCCCCTGGTGTTGGGTCGGCCTTTCGAGTCTGGGGCTGCCTTGCGCTTGTTCGCGACACCTCAGCGGACAAGCTCTCGGCACGCGCCGTCCCCTGTGTCTTCCTTGGTTTCCCAGTGGACTCTGCCGACTGGTCCTTTTACCACCCGTCCCTCCACCAGTTCCTAGACTCCCGTGACATCCGGTTTGACGAGTCTTTGTCCTACTACACCCGGTACCTCTGTCGAGGTCTCCTAGTACCCCCTCCCCCCCTTTTTCTAGCACCCTCTCCTCCTCCTGCTCCTGCTCCTCCGGTACCCCCTCCCCCCCCTGAACCTGCCTCGTCTGGTGTGTCCCACGCTACCCCTCTACCCTTGGTCGCGCGTCAGGTAGCGTCTCCCTCCCCGCAGTCCTACTCCAAGTCCCCTCAGCAGCCTTCGGCACTTCCGCGACAGGTTCCTGTGGACTTGGTTGGTGTTGGAGCTGGAGGTGCAGCCGCTGGCGGTGCGCGGTCTGGGGGTGCTCGTTTGCGGGGTGCTGGAGCTGGAGGGGCTGGTGCAGGTGGCGCTAGCTCTGGGGGTGCTGGAGTTGGAGGTGCTAGCACTGGAGGTGCTAGTTCTGGGGGTGCTGGAGTTGGGGGTCCTGACACTGGAGGTGTTGGTTCTGGGGGTGCTGAGTCTGAGGAGTCTGACGCTGGAGACCCTGGTTCTGCGGAGTCCACTCCGCCTCCCCACCGCCATGACACGCGTCTTCAGGCTGCCCGTTGGGGTGAGCGTGAGGAGCAGGAGCGGTTGGAGAGGGAGCTGCAGGAGCTGCGGCAGCTGGACCTTCTGGAGCAGCAGCGGCAGCAGCAGCAGCAGCAGCAGCAGCAGCCACAACCGCCGCCGCAGCAGCCTCCGCAGCTTCCTCAGGAGCGGCAGTTGTTCCCACCTGTGAGTGGCCTGCGGGCCCTTGGCCTTTCCTCCTCTCCTCCTGTCCGCTCCCAGTCTCCTCCTGTGTTTGTTCCTCTGTTGCCTCCTCCTGACGACCGTCCGGCGGTCTGGTCTTCTCCTCCTCCTCAGTCTCCTCCTCCTTCTGTCCGTCGCGACTTGATCACCCGTTGTCCTCCGCGTGCTCGTCACTCGTCCCCTGATACTGACCTCCACACTGCCCTCCTTTGTTCGTCTCGTCGTCGTTCTCCTTCTCCTGTGTCCGTTCTCCTGTCTCCTCCTCCATCCTCTCTCACAACCCTCCCCACTCCTATCTCTGACTACTACCGCGCTGTTCGTCCTGTTGCCGCACGTGTTCTCGCCACTCTTGTCACCGACTCTCGTTTCCCTCCGTCGTCTGCCTCGGCTCTCACTGGCGCTGTCGCTGAGTTTGCTGCCGCCAGCCGCCTTGACTACGCCACCCGTGTGGTGCCAGCTCCTCCCTACCGTCCTTTGTCCGTCCGGGGTGGGTTTGCCCTTGGCTGTAACGTCCTAGAGGACAGAGAGTTTGAGCTGGAGTACTGGGCAGCCGCTTCTCCCTCTGTGTGTGCCATGCTGCTCTCCCCTGAGGGAGACCCCGACGCCCTTGACATACTGACTCCTCGCACTTACCGCGAGGCAGTGTCAGGGGCGTGGGCCTCTCAGTGGAAAGCGGCTATGGACTCAGAGTTGGCGTCTTGGAGATCCACAGGCACCTACGTCGACGCAGTTCCCCCTCCCAGGGCGAACGTAGTCGATGGCATGTGGCTCTTCAAGGTGAAGCGGCCGCGTGGAGCACCGCCGATGTTCAAGGTGCGCTACGTGGCTAGGGGCTTTAGTCAGCATGAGGGAGTTGACTTCTTCCAGACCTCCGCCTCGACCCCGAAGATGACTACTCTTTGGGTGCTACTCCACATAGCAGCGCAGCGAGACTACGAGCTGCACTCCTTCGACTTCTCCACTGCGTTCCTCCAGGGCCGACTGCACGAGGAGATCTGGCTGCGCCGTCCTCCTGGCTTCACTGGCACCTTCCCACCTGGGACCTAGTGGAGCCTGAGGCGACCAGTCTACGGTCTCCGCCAGTCGCCCCGTGAGTGGCACGACACTCTTCGCTACACACTTCGTGACCTTGGGTTCAGCCCGTCCTCTGCCGACCCGTCGCTGTTTGTTCGAGCGGGTTCTACTCCTTTCTTTATCCTTGTCTACGTCGAAGACTTGGTGTTTGCTACCGCAGACAGGGCAGCACTGGCTCAGGTGAAGTCCGAACTGCAGAAGAGACACAAGTGCACTGACTTGGGTGAGCTGCAGCGCTACCTTGGCTTGCAGATCACCAGGGACAGAGCCGCTCACACCATCACACTGACGCAGTCACACATGGTGCAGCAGGTCCTTCGGCGGTTCGACTTCCAGTTCTCCACCACACAGCCCACTCCTCTTGCTGTTGACCACCGACTCACTGGCCCCTTTCCTGATGAGCCCTTTGAGCCCAGTGGTCCCTACGCAGAGCTTGTGGGCTGCCTCATGTACCTGATGACTTGTACTCGGCCGGACCTCGCCTTTCCCCTCAGCATCCTCTCTCGCTTTGTTGTGACTGGGAGACACCGTCCTGTCCACTGGACAGCTGCTGTGAGGGTGGCGAAGTACCTGGCGACTACATCAGGCATGGGGCTTGTGCTTGGAGGGACTCAGCCAGTGGCGTTGACTGGTCACTGCGACTCTTCCTACACTGACGACGTGGAGACTCAGCGCTCGACTCAGGGTTACTGCTTCAGTCTTGGAGCTGGTGCTGTGTCGTGGAGGTCTACACGGTCGTCTTCTGTGGCTACTTCCAATTCAGAGGCAGAGATCTACGCTGGTGCCATGGCGGCACAGGAGCTTCGCTGGTTGACCTTCTTGCTCGCCGACCTTGGTGAGCGGCCTCGCTCTGCACCGACCTTGTACGCTGACAACAAGGCCATGATCCTCCTGTGTCAAGAGCCTTGACTGGAGAGCAGAGTGAAGCATATTGACATGAGGTACTTCCTCCTGCGAGAGCTGCAGCGACGCGGCCAGGCACGCCTGGACTTTGTGGCCTCAGAGGCCAACACTACAGACGTCTTCACCAAGGCCTTGGCGCTTGGTGATCACCACAGGTTCTGTGTGCAGTTGGGGCTTGTTGAGGTAGGCCCTCGGTTGCTGTAGTCTTGTTGTTTGCTCTGCTTGTTGTGCTTCCTATTTATATCCTAGTGAACTCTTGAACTGGCCTTGTGGCCGCTTGCTTGCGCTCGGAATTTGTGTGGTGTCCTTGAGATCCACCCTGAGCTTGCCTTGTTTCTTGCTTTGACTGGTCTTGTGACCGTTTGTTCACCTTGCTTGCTTTGATGCCCCTCACTTAGCCTATGGGGGTGTGTCAAATGTAATTCTATGCTTGTAGGCTATAGTGAGTAGCACAATAGGGAGTACAGTTGTTAGGGTTGCATATTTGTACTCTCACACTTTCTAGTTTTGGTCATTCCGCTGCATTCCTATTCTGAGACCATATTGCAACGCAAGTGCTTGAAGGAAGAATATCAGTGTTCCCTCAGTATGACATGTGTGGCCACAGCTGTGCAGTACACATTTCAGTACATCACTGCCCATGCTTATATCCAGGTTTGTACAAGTGCATCAAAAGAATATTTGGAAAGGTAGGAGAAGGGGTGGAGGGGTGGGAAGAGAGGGGGAGGAGCAGGAAGGCAAGAAACGGACTTCTCTAATCGCAAACAGATTTGATTCTGTCTCCTCGCACCACCTTTGGCTGCCTGAATGCTGGCTGCATCCTGGCTGCACGGCTCTATTGCTGGTAGACTAACCCCATTTGTCAAATGTAATTCTATGCTTGTAGGCTACAGTGAGTAGCACAATAGGGAGTACAGCTGTTAGGGTTGCATATTTGTACTTCCACACTTTCTAGTTTCACCATTCCGTTGTTCGCTAACTTTGAGATGGTATCATGAGTAGGTGTCGATCCTCTCGCCTAGCCTAGCCTAGCTCGCGCCCTAGCGCCCTCCGCGCCCTTGCGCCCTAGCACCCTCCGCGCCCTCCGCGCCCTACGCGCCCTCCGCGCCCTTGCGCCCTAGCACCCTCCGCGCCCTCTGCACCCTCCGCGCCTTAGCCTCCGCGCCCTCCGCGCCATCTCCGCGCCTTAGCGCCCTCCTCCTCCGCGCGTTAGCGCCCTCCGCGCCCCTAGCCTGCGCCCCTAGCCCGACGCCTAGGCCCACGCCCTAGCCCGTCACCCAGGCCCACACCCTAGCCCGTCGCCCAGGCGCCCGCCCTAGCCCGTCGCCCAGGCCCACGCCCTAGCCCGTCGCCCAGGCCCACGCCCTAGCCCGTCGCCCAGGCCCAGGCCCACGCCCTAGCCCGTCGCCCAGGCGCCCGCCCTAGCTCGTCGCCCAGGCGCCCGCCCTAGCCCGTCACCCAGGCGCCCGCCCCAGCCCGTCGCCCAGGCGCCCGCCCCAGCCCGTCGCCCATGCGCCCGCCCCAGCCCGTCGCCCAGGCGCCCACCCCAGCCCGTCGCCCAGGCGCCCGCCCCAGCCCGTCGCCCAGGCGCCCGCCTCAGCCCGTCGCCCAGGCGCCCGCCCCAGCCCGTCGCCCAGGCGCCCGCCCCAGCCCGTCGCCCAGGCGCCCGCCCCAGCCCGTCGCCCAGGCGCCCGCCCCAGCCCGTCGCCCAGGCGCCCGCCCCAGCCCGTCGCCCAGGCGCCCACCCCAGCCCGTCGCCCAGGCGCCCGCCCCAGCCCGTCGCTCAGGCGCCCGCCCCAGCCCGTCGCCCAGGCGCCCGCCCCAGCCCGTCGCCCAGGCGCCCGCCCCAGCCCGTCGCCCAGGCGCCCGCCCCAGCCCGTCGCCCAGGCCCGCGCCCTAGCCCGTCGCCCAGGCGCCCGTCCTAGCCCGTCGCCCAGGCGCCCTCCCTGGCTCGTCACCCCAGCCCCGTAGGCAGCGCGCCGCGCGGGTAGCGCGCCCCGCGGGTAGCGCGCCCCGCAGGAGGCGCCCCGCAGGCAGCACACCCTGCAGGCAGCACGCCCCAGAGTGCTTTAGTGCCAGAAAATAAATAAACAAATTAAACCCTAAAAAAAAAAGGGTTTAGAGTGGGGGCCTGCGACTGTCGCCCGCGTTCCTGCTTGCCGGACGACCTGCACAGTTGCCTACATCTCGCAGCCGTCAGTACTGCAGCCCCTACTATCGCACGTACTTTCCACTGCCAGTGGCTCTACTAGTAGCAGCCGACAGCCGCACTTACGGTCTCTAGCCCCGGCCGTTCCTACCTCCAGCCAGCCCTAGCTCGTCGTTTCTAGCTCCAGCCAGTTGTGCTCCAGCCGTTCTAGCTCCAGCCGTTCTTGCTCCAGCCGTTCTCGCTCCTCGCTCGTAGCTCAGTTTGCTCCGTGCTCCGGCCGTTCCTCGCCTAGTTTCACCTGGCGCTTCTAGCTCAGTTTGCTCCGTGCTCCAGCCGTTCCTCGCCTAGTTTCACTTGGCGCTCCTAGCTTAGTTCGCTCCGTGCACTAGCAGTTACTCGCCCGGTTTCACCTGGCGCTCCTAGTTGTTCTCGTTTTTCACTGCAGCCTGTCGCTCCTAGCCTGCCGCTCCTGCACCCCGCTAGCTTTTATCATGAAGTCCACTAGGGTTCTCTATCAGCAGGGACAGCAGCAGCGGCCTTTTCAGCAGTGGCTTCCGCAGCAGCAGGGGCGCCCTCAGCAGCTGTGGCGCCCTCAGCAGCCGTGGGGGCCTGGTGGTTCAGGTCGCGTTGGCTTCAGCAGCGGCCCAGCCAGCTGGGGGGCTCGTCGCGGTGGCCGCGACGTCGGCCCTTGCCAGTACCGGATCCTGACCGGCCCTGGTGCTGGCACTACCTGCTGGCGTCCTGACCACTCTGCACAGCGCTGCTACAGCCACCTCGACGACCTTTACCGTGAGCGTTTTGGGCCTGAGTCGGCTCCCCCAATCTGGCCCGGTCTGTTTCGTAGTGGTTTCCCTGTGTTTGATATGTCTATGGATGTTGTTTATTCTGTCACGTACGGATCTCTTGGCTTACGTGTACCTAGCTTAGAACAATTGCCTGTTGCTAGTGTCGGTACTTGTGCTTTTAGTGTAGGTGCTTGTGTAGTCACTAGCCCAGCCGTGACGACTGCTGTTGCGTCGCTCTCCTTCACGCTGGACTCTGGCGCGTCTCTGTGCTTCTTCCACGACCACACCACTGTCACACATCTTTCGGCTCCAGTCCCAGTTGCCCTGGCTGATCCTACTTCAGGACCAGCAGTTGCTCGCAGCTCGACCACCCTCCTGTGCCCGGGTGTCCCCTCTGGTTTCCTCACTGGTCTCTACATCCCCTCGTTCTCTCGGAACTTGGTGGGTGTTGGATACCTTCAGGACCAGGGGATCACAGTCACTTTTCCTGCGCACGGGAGGACTGCGATCTGTACGGACTCTTCCACCAGGGCAGTTCTTGCCACGTTCACCAGAGAGCCCCACTCAGGTCTCTTCGTCCTGCACACTCCGCCCCTGCAGGTAGCTGCGTCTGGTCACGTTGCTTCGTGCCCCCCGGTAGCAGAGTCCGGTCAGGTGGCTCTGTCTAGTCCGGTCGCTGTGTCCAGTCCAGACGCTGCGTCTTGCTTTTGTCGCTCTCTCGCCCACCGCACCGTCCTGTGGCACCACCGTCTTGGCCACCCGTCGATCCCTCGCCTTTGTGGCATGCTCAGTCAGGGACTTGTCACAGGTCTCCCACGCACCTTCCCGTTGCTCCCTCTCTCGCTTGCCCCTCCTTGCTCTCCGTGCGTCGCCGGTCGCTTACGCGCCACTCCCCACTCCTCCTCCCTTCGTCCGGCCACCGCTCCCTTTGAGACTCTCCACTTGGACGTCTGGGGCCCTGCCCCGACGCAGGGGTCTAGGAGGGAGCGTTACTTTCTGGTGGTCGTCGACGACTTCTCCATGTACACCACAGTGTTCCCTCTTGCGAAGAAGTCCGAGGTGACTGCTATGCTGATCAGGTGGCTTCTAGCCACTGAGGGCACTCGTAGTCGTCGAGTCAGTTGTCTTCACTTTGACCGTGGGAGCGAGTTTCGCTCCGGCATTCTCGGCGGATTCTGCGGTGAACAGGGCATCACCCAGTCCTGGACGCTGCCAGAGTCCCCACAGCAAAATGGGGTTGCTGAGCGCCGCATAGGCTTGGTCATGGACATCGCCCGCACGTCCATGATTCATGCCCGTGCGCCCCATTTTCTGTGGCCCCACGCGGTTCGCTACGCTGCACACCAGCTGAACCTCCAGCCGCGTGTCTCGCGGCCCGAGGCTTCACCGACCAGTCTTTGGACTGGTTCCCTTGGTGTTGGGTCGGCCTTTCGAGTCTGGGGCTGCCTTGCACTTGTTCGCGACACCTCCGCGGACAAGCTCTCGGCACGCGCCGTCCCCTGTGTCCTCCTTGGTTTCCCAGTGGACTCTGCTGACTGGTCCTTTTACCACCCTCCCCTCGACCAGTTCCTAGACTCCCGTGACGTCCGGTTTGACGAGTCAGTGTCCTACTACACCCGGTACCCCTATCGAGGTCTCCCGGTACCCCCTCCCCCTCTCTTCCTCGCACCCTCTCCTCCTCCTGCTCCCGCTCCTTCGGTACCCCCGCCCCCCCCTAGTCCTGCCCCGTCTGGTGTGTCCCACGCTACCCCTCTACCCTCGGTTGCGCGTCAGGTAGCGTCTCCCTCCCCGCAGTCCTCCTCCAAGTCCCCTCAGCAGCCTTCGGCACTTCCGCGACAGGTTACTGTGGACTCGGTTGGTGTTGGAGCTGGAGGTGCAGCCGCTGGCAGTGCTCGATCTGGGGGTGCTCGGTCGCGGGGTACTGGAGTTGGAGGTGCTGGCGTAGGTGACACTAGCTCTGGGGGTGCTGGAGCTGGAGGTGCTGGCGCAGGTGGCGCTAGCTCTGGGGGTGCTGGAGCTGGAGGTGCCGGCACTGGACGTGCTGGTTCTGGGGGTGCTGGAGCTGGGGGTGCTGGCACTGGCGGTGCTAGTTATGAGGGTGCTGGAGTTGGAGGTCCTGGCACTGGCAGTACTGGTTCTGGGGGTGCTGAGTCTGAGGAGACTGATGCTGGAGACCCTGGTTCTGCGGAGTCGACTCCGCCCCCCCACCGCCACGACACGCGTCTCCAGGCTGCCCGTCGGCGTGAGCGTGAGGAGCAGGAGCGGTTGGAGAGGGAGCGGCAGGAGCTGCGGGTGCTGGACCTTCTGGAGCAGCAGCGGCAGCAGGAGCAGCAACAACAGCACCAGCGGCAGCAGCAGCAGCACCAGCGGCAGCCACAGCCACAGCCGTAGAAGCAGCAGCCGCAGCCGCAGCAGCAGCGGCCGCAGCCGCCACCGCAGCTTCCTCTGGAGCGGCGGTTATTCCCACCTGTGAGTGGCCTGCGGGCCCTTGGCCTTTCCTCCTCTCCTCCTGTCCACCCCCAGTCTCCTCCTGTGTTTGTTCCTACGTTGCCTCCTCCTGACAACCGTCCGGCGGTCTGGTCTTCTCCTCCTCCTCAGTCTCCTCCTCCCTCTGTCCGTCGCGACTTGATCACTCGTTGTCCTCCGCGTGCTCGTCACTCGTCCCCTGATACTGACCTCCACACTGCCCTCCTTTGTTCGTCTCGTCGTCGTTCTCCTTCTCTTGTGTCCGTTCTCCCGTCTCCTCCTCCGTCCTCTCTACCTACCCTCCTAACTCCTATCTCTGACTACTACTGCGCTGTTCGTCCTACTGCCGCACGTGTCCTCACCACTCTTGTCACCAACCCTCGTTTCCCTCCGTCGTTTATCTCGGCTCTCACTGCCGCTGTCGCTGAGTTTGCTGCCGCCAGCCGCCTTGACTACGCCACCCGTGTGGTGCCAGCTCCTCCCTACCGTCCTCTGTCCGTCCGGGGTGGGTTTGCCCTTGGCTGTGACGTCCTAGAGGACAGAGAGTCTGAGCTGGAGTACTGGGCAGCCGCTTCTCCCTCTGTGTGTGCCATGCTGCTCTCCCCAGAGGGAGACCCCGACGCCCTTGACATACTGACTCCTCGCCCTTTTCGTTCTCCTCTTTCGCCTATATCTCGTCCTGCGTCACTTGTTCCTGCTGCTCGCACTGCTAGCCGTGTTCCGCGTGAGCGCCATCCTGCTGTCCCCGGCACACACTATATGACTCTGCGTCCTTCCACTGCTCCCCAGCATCTCCCTCTCCCGTCTCCTCTTGCGTCCTCTCTTCCTGCTCTAACTGACCCAGAGTCTGACTCCCTTCGCGCTACCAGTCCTACTGTCATGTGTCTCCTGGCTACTGTTGTCACTGACCCTTCCTTTGAGTCCGCTGCTGCGTCTGCCTTAGTTGCTGAGCTTGTCGACTTTGCTGCCACCTGTTGTCTAGACTACGCCGCTAGCCTAGTTGCTGAGTCTGAGTCTGTCTGTCCTCCGTCCGTCGGGGGTGAGTGTGCTCTTGGCACGGACGTTCTTGAAGACAGGCAGGAGGAGTTTGAGTGCTTCCCCGCTACTTCACCCCATCTCGTGTCCATGCTAGTTGCCCCTGAGGGAGATCCGGTACACCAGACATCCCGACTCCTCGATCGTACGCTGAGGCGATCAAGAGTCCCTACTCCTCTCAGTGGCAGTCAGCCATGGATGCAGAGATGGCTTCCTGGAAGTCCACAGGCACCTACGTTGACGAGGTTCCCCCACTTGGGGCGAACATCGTCAGTGGTATGTGGATTTTCAGGCTGAAGCGGCCGCCGGGTTCTCCGCCTGTCTTCAAGGCGCGTTACGTTGCATGAGGCTTTAGTCAGCGAGAGGGAGTGGACATCTTCCAGACCTTCTCCCCGACCCCAAAGATGACCACTCTTCGGGTTCTGCTGCACGTCGCCGCTCAGCGTGACTACGAGCTCCACTCTCTTGACTTCAGCACTGCTTTCCTACAGGGCAGCCTGCACGAGGAGATCTGGCTGCGCCGCCCACCTGGCTTCACTGGGTCGTTTCCTCCTGGTACCCAGCGGAGCCTCCGGCGGCCAGTCTACGGTCTCCGACAGGCACCGCGTGAGTGGCACGACACACTGAGGACTACACTTGCGGCTCTTGAGTTCGCTCCCTCTACTGCTGACCCGTCGCTGTTTCTACGCACCGACACTTCGCTGCCGCCATTCTACATCCTCGTCTACGTCGACGACCTGGTCTTTGCCACTGCTGACACTCCGGCACTCGCCCACGTGAAGTCGGAGCTGCAGATAGACACACGTGCATAGACCTGGGTGAACTGACAAGCTATCTTGGCTTGTGGATCACCCGGGACAGAGCACGGCGCACCATCACCTTGACTCAGTCACACATGGTGCAGCAGGTCCTTCAGTGCTTCGGCTTCACGTACTCCTCGCCTCAGTCCAGTCCTCTGCCTACAGGTCACTCGCTCTCAGCTCTGCCTTCAGATGAGTCCGTAGAGCCGAGTGGCCCGTATCCAGAGCTTGTGGGCTGCCTCATGTACCTGATGACCTGCACTTGACCTGACCTTGCATACTCTCTTAGCATCCTTGCACGCTATGTAGCTCCTGGCCGTCACCGGAAGGAGCACATGGATGCTGCTAAGAGGGTGTTGCGCTATCTGTGCAGTACGTCGGGCATGGGGCTAGTGCTCGGAGGACGA